AGATCTACGGGGAGGCGTTCGGGCTGAAGCCATATAAGAATATTGAAACATATAAGCTCATCTATTTAAAATAATAAAGTGAAAATACTGCTTAAATAATAAATATGTAAATAAGAAATAAGAAAAAATAACGAACAAAAAGCAGTTAAAGATTTTGTTTTCTACCAGTAACATGTGTAGTTTTCAATTTTTTTTTTTTTTAATATATTACCTATTTGATTATTTATTTATTTTTTTTATTTTAAGATGGTTTAAAATCAAATAAACTGGGGAAATCTGTTAACTTCAAATGGAAATTAGGAATATAGGTTGGTTGTGAGACCTGAGCAAGCTAGCCTATCTAATAGTTAAGTTTCTCTTCCACTTAAAACTCTGTCTTCCCTCCTCTTCTCGTGATTGAAGCTTAGATTTCAAGATTTCTGAAAATCCGCCAATACAGTACATCAGTAGATTGATATTAACCTCACACGACCAATCAGAATGTCAATCATCACTCGAAATGTTATTTTCAGAGCAGATTGACGTGTAGTAGGGATGAGCGGAAGGAACGAACGGTTCGTGGAATGGATTCCACTAACGAAAAGGTACAAGACTGTAAGCGATTTATTTCCGCCGCGATGTAACATAAGATCAGAACGGGGACATCTTTAGGTTTTGACGGCTAAGTTATCGGGAGAGTCAAAACAGTGATTTATAGAAATTAAAGAGAGCAGGTTGTCATGGAAGTAGATTAGCAGATATGGAATGAACCACATCCACTTCAAAAATGAACCCTAATGACTACATTTAATTTAGTCTTGTTAAATAAAATCAAATTAGATTAAAAATATAATCTAATGAATCATGAATATAATTTAATCCAAAACATGAATTCAATATAGAAATTAATAAATTTTAAGGACATTAATTAAAATGACAAGATTTGGATAAATGAGGGCAAACACAATTATTTTAATCAAATGACTATTGATTAAATAAAAAATGTGGCTCTAAAATACAGATGAAATTTTGTCTTTTTTAATAATTTTAAGTTGAGAAAAGATTTCATATCATAGGTAGATTTACATATGTCAAGAATTAGAAAGTTCCAGAGAATATTTAAGGAAAATTGATTACTCAAATATATGAATTTTACTAAACAAAAAAGAATTGTACTGTAGAATTATATTCAAAAATGAAAAAGAAAAATCGATTCATAACATAAAATTTAGTAAGGATATAAAAACAAAACCAGTAAAATCAAAATATAAATAAGCACAAATAACTAACCGTTGCAAATCTAAAAATAAAAAAGGTTTTTCTTTGTCAGTGATGATTGAATCTGTCGTACATTAATCAAAATAAAACATGCAGCATTTAAAATATTCTCTCACATGAAACAGAAGTAGCAATTATACTCCTCATTTCTTTAGCCGGTGATGTATAAATTTGAGTATGTCACCACGATCATGTCTGCTTAGTATGTCACCATTTCATATAATACCATCTACTTGTCATCTAAAATGTCCTCTGCTGGATTCCTGTTCAGTTCAATTATTTTCTTTGATTCAAGTGTACCTTTCGCAGAATGTTGCTCTAGGGCTTTCTTCAATGTTCCTAAAATTTATTTATTTTTTTTTTAAGTTTTCTGTAGTTCTCGCTCGCCATTTATGTTCATTTTCTTCTGTCTCGATGATTTTTCTGTTGTTTTAAATAGTTTTAGAATTATGAATATCTGTTTCATTATTCCCTACCTAGTTTCAAGTGTTGTTCAGAACAAAGGTAGACTCTAACAAGATTTTGAGTTAATTTAACCCTTTTAGATATGAAAAATAGGAGGCAGTGTTTCTGTGAGAGTTTCCTATCTTCACTAATTTGCCTGCTTTATATATAAAGAAGAATTAATGAAGATTGTATCAGCAGGACCTACCACAGAACCTACCAGCACTCATCAAACGCTTGTAAATGATTAAGGCTCTTACAGTCCTGGGACTGGATCTAAATAGAGTACTCATCTTAGAAGGCCAGAATGTGATTAATGAAAGTGTGTGCTATTCTGAGGAAAATTAACCTTATTTATAATTTCAAAAATGTTAGACAATATTTTTGGGTAACACCCTATGCCATATTTTTATTAATGTTTGATACAAACGTGTTTAATAATAATTAAACACGTCTGTATCAAACATTAATAAAAATATGGCATAGGGTGTTACTTTTTTTGATAATGAAATGAAACGAAAATATATTTTATTATTCTGGGACTGTTGTCCCTTTAGAACAAATTATAAGTACAGAATATATGTATGTGTGGTCATAAATAAATTAACTATTTACAATAATAGTTAATTAAAAGTAAAAATACAGAAGAAGAGAGAGAAAAAGACAAGAAAAGCGTACATATATATATATAAGACAAACAAAGGAAATTAAAATAACAGAAATAGTTTATGGGGGTTCTGAGATTGTTCTCTTAGATATATATCATAATCACCCAGATTTTGAAAGGAGTAGGTGTTTGAAGAGGAGAGATTTAAAAGAGGAAACTAATTGTGCATGTCGAATATCAGCAGGGATAGAATTCCAGAGGGAGGCGGCTTGAATTGCAAATGATTTGTCAAACGCAACAGTTCAGTGAGGATGAGGATGGAGGTCGGAGGTACGAGATCTAGTGGGACGGGATGGGATGGAGTATTTAAATTGTAAGCTGTGAAAAAGACAGGAGAGTCGATGAGTTCTAATGATCTGGTACAGAAAGGTGGCTAGGAAGTATTGACGGCGATAGGATGGATAGAGCCACTTCAACTCGGTGTAATACTGGGTAATAAACGTATCTCTTGAGATTCCGAAAACAAAACGTAATGCAAAATTCATTAAGCGTTTAAGTTTGGCCTCGAAATCTCCTGAGAGTCGACTGTACACCACACAGCCATAGAAGTGGGGAAAAACAAGAGAGGAAACTAGGAGTTGACGAGACTTATATGGAAGGAGATAATGTAGACGATTGAACTGTTTTAAGGTGGAAATAGTGCGACAGGAAATTTGAGAGATGTGTGGTTTCCAGGAGAGGGTTTGATCAAAAGTAACACCTAGATTTTTAATGATAGTATGGAATGAGATAGGTGAGTTGTTCAGGAGAAGATTGGGGGATACTGGGAAGGATTTGAGGAGAGAGGGGGATCCAATCAAGATGACTTGTGTCTTCTCAGCATTCAGAGTGAGCCTGTTAGGTTTGCCCAAGCACTTATTCTATTATCATCTTCTTGGAGTTTTAGAATGGCATCTGAGGAATCAGTCGGATTGAAGGTGAGGTGAATTTGAACATTGTTGGCATACAGGTGGTATTGACAGTGCACTATAGAGGACGGGAGGTCATTTGTATTGATGGAAAAAAGGGGTGGGGAATAAGGAAGAGCCTTGTAAAACACCTCTGGACAAGGGTAGAGATACTGATGGGGGACTATTGGGGATTAAACCATATTGGAGACGAATGGTAAGGAAGGATTGGAACCAATTAAGGGCACAAGAGAAAAAGGAGATATTTTTATGTTTGTTTAGGAGGACGTTGTGGTCTGCTGAATCAAAAGTTTTGGAAAAGTCAAGGAAAATAAGGATAGTTAGTTTCTACTAATTTATGACTGTTTAGAGGTCTTGGGAAATTTTGATTAGGGCAGACTGAGTAGAATAGCCAGGCCTTAAACTGGACTGCTAGGGGTTTAGGTGATTATTGTGCTCTAAAAAATGAGATAGCTGGGATTGGGCTTGTCACTCTAAAGGTTTGGAGAGGTTTGAAAGAAGGGAAATTGGACGGAAATAATAAAGATATGATGCGTTAGAGGTCTCCTTCAAGGGGCGTACTAGGGCAGTTTTTCAGGATGTAGCATTTTGAAGAGAATAATTTTAGATGTTTTTGAAAAAAAAAAAAATTGGAAATAATTAGAGCAGATCCTTGCCTGAGCCCTTAGTGAAATTTCACTCACTATGGCACATAGTGTAAACCCGCTTACAAGTACAAGCTGCAAAAAAATCCATAATTTATTTAATTCCTTTATCTATTTTATTTAGAACTACAAAATATTTATGGATTTAGTTTATAAAAGAAGAAAAAGAAACAAAAAAATCATGTAACTACTTAAGCTATAATTTTAAAAAACAAAAACAACTTTGAGTATTGATACTTTTTCATATTTTTTTTAATTTTATTGATTTATTTTATTATGTTGATTTCATTTTTCCATATTTAAATGAAAATCTCTTACCTTATGTTTTGTATAATCATGAAATACATGTATAGGAAAAATAAAATAAATCTTAAGGCTGAAGCCCCTAAAATGGAGAAATAATATTTTTATTATTGGCCCATATTTGTTTATATAAGTAATTTAAGCAAAACACTAAAACAGTCAAAATATATTCTCTTTTTATATTATAATGTATGCACAGTTACTAAATGTAACTCACAAAGATACCAATCTAATAAAACCAACTCAAATAATAATAATACCAATCAAATAAGAAACTAATAAAGTTTTGAGTTATGTCATTCTGCTTCCAATCTAGCGATATGTTTAATAATATCAGGTTTGTAAATATTATTTTAATATATAAATATTAATGTTATTATTAATAGGTATCAAATTAAATAATTTATGGAAACATATTATGTTCGCTTTCAAACCCAGCAATAAAGAGTTATGTATACATTGCAATGTTAATATTGTTTGATTTGTTAAAACTACGATTCGGGGACTAACCATAAAAACAATGTAAACATAGTTATTTAGAAATATATTTGTGAATTTTTATCAGTAAGCATTAATTATGCATTTTCATTAGAGAAAAAAAGGTTCAAAAAAATAATAAAAACCAATGATATATAAAAAAATGTTTATATAATTAAAAAATAATCTCCAAACCAAATCTTCTAATACAAAAATAGAAATTAGCATAGAAAATTTCAAACAGATACAATAAAACTGATATATCACCAATCACCATCAACAAGACTAGAGAATCACTAATTATGGAAGCAGTAAAGGTAACTCCTTGTTCGTTCAGGCATGAGTCACTTTCTGCTGAGACAAGTCCATAGGAAGGCGCTTTGTGAATTTTTCATAGCTAAAATTATAAATATAGATTGCGTTAGTTTAGATTTAATATTAATTATTTGTTTTTTATTTAAATTATAAAGTACTGGTAATAAACCAACATGTTTTCATATCTGATTTTTTCATTAGGTGTTAAAGAAGGTTTTAATTCTTTTAGAGCTGTCATTAAACAATCCTTTGAAAGTTCGACTTGTTTCACTTCCTAAAACAGATATAAACATAAAAAGTTATAATAAAATTATAAAAATTGACTGATTTTTTTAACAAGATATAATATTACAGCTAAAAGGTATTTAGCTAAAAATTATTTTATAAATAATAATCAAGATATGGAATAAATTTGAGTGACTTAATGTGATAAAACGAAGTTAGAATAATCCTAAAAAGGAGCTAAGTTTAAAGGGAGAGGGAGGATAGGGGTAAGGTAAGGGTGTATGGAACTAATAAAGCCTAATGGTAATTGGAAACAGTTTCTCCAAGATAAGAGCCTCACTAGACCCCACTCAGGAAAGGTAACAGATACAGGAACTGCCAAGATATCAGAACTAAGTTAATTTGCCAAACCTACGCCCTACCGTTCCCTTCATATCATTATGGTACAGTTTACTAATGTTCTCTCTTCAAATAACACATTAGCTCTATAATTAGAATACAACATGAAGAGAATTTACTAGCTCATGTGTTATATAACCAATAAAATATAACAAAACTTACAATTAATTCAAATATTTCTTTTATACATATACACGATTATATCAAACTCAAAATCCAAATTTTGTAAATTTCTAAATATATATATATATATATATATATATATATATATATATATATATATATATATATATATATATATATACATATATATATACATACATATATAATGGGTTTATTGCAAAACATCATCAAGTAGAATTTTATAAAATTATTATAAATTTGAAAGCTGAGATGCAATAACACTAATTTATCAATAGTTAATTAACAGTAATTAACAAATTTTTAAACTCATTTTTATGCCAAAAATCGTAACATAAAATTTTTTTTATCAATTTTAAAAAACTGTTATTTGTTTATCTCAATATATATTTTTATAATGTTTTAGCCACCTGGCTGATATTGGTGAATAATTTTATAGACAATTTTAGACAGATGGAAAATAACAAGTGTAAAGAAATGTTTGAAAATGACCAAGTGGTGAAATATTACATAAATATATGTTGATAGAACTAAATAAAAGTTTTTATAAAAGAATTTTTATATGTTATGTTTTTGAGATAAAATTGGGTTCAAACATTTGTCAATTAACAATTGATAAATTATAATTTTTAATATATTACATGGTTTGTGTCAATTTGATAGATTTAATGTTTAACAATCAATTTTACTGTTTATTTTGTATAGATAAACAAGATTAAAATTCACAGCAATATTTATAAATTTTAGCTTCATCAAAAAAGTACTTAGTGACTATTTTCAATAAACCAACAATATTATTGATTTAATATATTATTTTATTTTATCTTTTTAACTCATAGTTTTACTTCAATTTTTTTTTTATGTATATATTAGAATCGTTAAAAAATAATAATGAACTGACAGAATTTTAAAACTAACCTGCAATATTAATTTGATTTATTTTTTTACCATATTCAATATTATGTGATTTCTAATACTTGTGACATTTTCTAAATTTAGTTAAGGTCAATAATTACCTAAGTAAACAATCATATAAATAAATATAACTGTGATAAATTTCCATAATTTAAATTATGGATTTTGATAATTCAATAAAGGAATTAAGCAGTTCAAATCATATATATGATTTAAATTAATAATTCAAAGACAAATTAAGGATTTAAAATTGTCGATAATAATAATATATTCATGGCTGATTCATCTAAAAAATTATGATAAAAATTATTTATTTTACTATCTAAAAAAATACAGATTTATTTTATACAGAATATACTCTTTTTTAATAATAAAGAATTTAAATAATAAAAAATATGAAAGATTTTTAATCAATTTTGTTAAAACTTTATCCAAACAGCATCAACTAAAACTAATCTAATTTTATTAGCAAATCCATATTTTCATGTATAAAATCCAATATATAATGAAATGAAAATAACATAAACATTTTGTATCTTTCAGACATTCCTTAATTTATTAATCATGTTTTATTTGGTCAATTTTAACAAGGAAAGGAAAATTACACAAAATAGGATATAAAATACTGTCAACAAAAATAGAAATAGCAAATTAAGATGCTTCTATACATAACATATAACAATGTATCCCTAAAAGACAACAATTTAATTTTACAATATTGAGCTTCAATAAATACAGAGGTAGTTTTAAAATGGTTATGTGAAAAGCTAAATTTACTTGAAATTAACTGATGTCTTAACCATGTTCATTGTGACATAAAATATAATTAAAAAGGGAGGAATATAAACAAAGGAATCCTGCTAGTATGCCAAGTGTCTCACGAGAGTGAAGTATAGACTGGAAGGGGTCTAAAGTCATCACAATATTTATGAAAATTTTACAAATCAATAAAGAAAAAAAAAAAAATCAAGGATTGGGTAAAAGCCAAGAGACCATGGAGGTTAGATCAGAAATTGAATAAGCTGTCAAAGAGGTGTTTGAATTGTTAAATCAACAATGGATTTCAATTAAGACTTGAGGGAGGATTGGCAGAGCTTGTCGTGTTTTAATTAAGGGCGTGAGATTGGGGTTAGGAGCGAATAATAAGTATTGATTGCATTGGATCACACTCTTATTTATACCATGCTGAGGCTGAGGAAGAAGGGTAACTGGAGAGAAGAAATTACATGAATCCAATACCCCACTGTTTGATCAAAGGGTTTGTGACAACAAGGCCAGCAGACTATTGGGGCAGCCACCTCCCCCAAACCACAATAAACCTTTTCTAAATCATCCCCTCCTTCTGCCCAACAACCAACCTTCGCATCATTACTTAAAATTCAATTTACTTCTCCTTTTCCTTCATCCAGGAAAAGTTGTTTGTTGAGGCAAGTACCTACCTGAGAGAAGCATGTTGAAAAAATTCCATTAAAGTATAACATTACAGAAAAAATACATTTACACATAACCTTCAAAATTATTTAAAATAAAAATCAATGTTCTATCAACCAAATACTAAATAGTCACTCTGATAAAAATTTAAAGTGGGAAATTTAAAAAAAATGTATAAAATGTATTATAAAAAAAAATTAACGAATAATTGTGTGCAACTATACAGCAAATAATTTTAATATTGTTTCTAATTTTGCTGTTTAATTCAGTAGTGTTAATTATTGATGTTCAACACAAAAACAAATAGTAACACATTTATTGAAAAAAAAAAACAGAAATCAATTCTCTCTACTTTAGTTTGACATTTATAATAGACTTCTTATGAGTTTACTAAATAATATAACTTATTCACTTTTCACTGCAAAAATCAATGAATTAATTAAAACTTATTTCATTCCAACCATTAATTATCATTGATATAATACCAAGTGTTATATTTTTTCTCTAACTACCACGAAAAATCTATATTAAACACTAATCAAAATAAACGAACATAATTTTTGATCATCTTAATATTCATCAAAATCAATGAAATTGTTTTGTTTTATTTATTCATTTTTGTATGTATTATTAAACATTTTCAGAAAGAGAACATCATATAATTTTAATAACATTTAAAATTACTAGTTTAATTTACATATATTGATAGGAGATAGCTTTTAAAAATTTTAATCAAAAAAGAAAAAGTTGTTTCTGAAGGATAATAAAATTCGATAATAGAAGTCGATTGAGTCAGATCAAAAAAACTAAAATTTGTTGTTTTTTTTTAAACTTTATAAACATTCAGTTAAACAACCATTATTCATAACTACAGGAGGGTGAAATGACAAATGATGTGAAAGATATTATAGAAGAAATTAAAAACATACATAATAAACAAAAATAATTTTATGCAAGAATATTATGAACAGAAAATAGCACTTTTTATTTAATTAGTTTTAATATGCTGACAAAATCGGTATTTATACAGAGTAGGACTGAAGTAGACAAAAAAAAAGGAAGCAGATTAAAATATGAAAAATTAGAAGGGATTTTTTAAAACTTTCGACGATCTTATTTTTGTAGAGAGAAATACTTTATTGAAAGTAATGCTGCCCTACTACATAGGGTTGCTTTATACACAGCATACTGATCAATCCATATGGGCAAAGCTCTTACATTAAATTACTCCATCATTACACAAACATATCCCTTTTTTTTTTCTCCCTTTCCATAACACTAGTCACACATACCATCACTAATATACCACATTAAACAATTAGCATTATAACAGAATAAATTAGCATAAAAATGATCAGTAAAGAGAACCATACCTTTTCAGATAAATTTTCTTCATGAAAAAAAGTATCTGAAAAATATAAATATTTTACATTAATATCAACGTGATAAGATAAAAATCATACACAATAATTTAAAATGTTTACCATTATCTTGCAACAAATCGAGAGTTTTAATTTGTGCCGAAGTCAGCAGACCACGTAGATCAGCTCCAGTGAAACCATCTGTTAATGAAGCTATTTCTTCTAAATCAACATCATTAGAAAGATGGACTGTCTTACAAAGAACCTTCAAAATCGCATGTCTTGTATCCTAAAATTAAATGTACTAATATTTCTGAAATTTATGTTTTCAAAAGCTTGAAATGCATGAAAATTATTAATAAATATGATATTCATAACAATCTAAATCACTAAATAAATAATAATAAACTAAATAAATAAATTACTAAAAATCAATTGAATCCACTCAAATGTCTTCCTATACCACATTTGGTATAGAGTCCAAAACAAAACTTGTTTTCAATATACAATTTAACTACCTTCATAATGATCACGTGAAATGATTTATGAGATTTATAGTTTTTGAGTAAATCAAACAAATAAAAATACATATATAAAAATTTAACTCGTAGAAAATTTAATTCAATTAAACAACATTAAATATTGTAAACCAAAGTATTTAACTTGGTTAGTTTTTCTAGATGATATTGACATTGTTGCAAGATTCAGGACAGAATCGAGCAATTCCTTTATGGCAATCCAAAAGACAGCTTGACAGCTAGATCTAGTGGTAATTAGTCCAAAACTAAATATATGGTGGTAGAGGTAGAAGGAGAACAAAAAGGCAAGACTTTAATTGTGGTAGACCCATACCAATTTGAAAGGAGGCAGGAATTCACCACCAAGAAAATAAGCAAGAAGATAATGGCAGCCAACCCTTGCTAATTTGGCTTGATCAGGCAGACAAAGAGCCGTTTACTCTCAAAGTACACAAAGGTAAGATTATATAAGATCTTAATTAAACCTATGGCTTAAAATCATGTGCTATAACAAAGGCAGATGAAAATGATCTGTAGGTATTTGGACAAAATATCATGAGGTATCTCAATAACATTGTGAAGGATGGAGAGGTTTGTAGATGCAGGAACTAGAGACTTTGTACTCTGTATAATGGCCTGACTGTTGTTTACTTTAATAAGAAGAGAAGATTATGTTGGGACAGACAGTTAATGCAAATAATGGAAGGAGAAACTCCTAGGAAGATACTTGAAGATAAACTCGATAAAACTGAGAGTGGCAGACCTAGACCATGATGGCTGGACAGTGTGGCCAGCTGATTTCAGAACCACTCTTAATATACCAAATTGAAAGGTAGATATATCTGGATGACAGAAGCTCCTAGAAGAGGTCAAGGTCCACTACCAGGTTGCAGTAGCAAGTAGAAATAGATAAGATAATTTAATTATCTATCAAGTGATTATGTATAAATGTTAATGAAATATATACTTTTAAAGTAATACATAAATTAAATTTACATTTCATCATAACTATTTCTACACTATATATGAAAATTTAAACAGGTTTTTGGAAAGAGTATAGGCAAGGTCCATCAAAAATTTTAGAGCTATTTTCACATAACTGTGTATATAAAAACACATTTTAAGCTCCAAGAAGAGGTTAAGTGTAGCCCTATACCACAAAAGGGTTCTCAATTCGGAGACCTAACATCAGGGGCCAAAATCGTACAAAACAAAAGCCAAAGGGTTTAGATCATCCATTTAAAGGAATCGAGATTTCAGTTCAACCAAAATTAACTAAATGATATATTTGAATTATAACTTCAATGATTCTGTGATAACTTAACAAAGAAATCAACAAAAAAAAAAAAGAATTACAATATTTTTATGACTCTTGGTTTATTATTTCTAAATGGTTATGTATGGTTATTGGTTATTTTTTATTTTTATTTTTTTATCATGGAGAAATTGTTGACTGTTGATTCTTATAAGAGAAGTAGGTCGGAGATTGCAGCTTTAAATTTTTTTTTTCAAAAATTATTCCAAAAACTGGTAATGTCAAGTTACAAGGCTTGTGATTTTATGTTAAATCTATAAAAAAAAATCGGCAAAATAGTGACAGAAAAAAATCGTGGACTACGGACAGATTTTTATTTGATTTCTAGATTCTACATATGTTGAAACAAAAAACATCAAACTACAGTAAGAACAATGTACCTTATCTGGTAGGGGACAAAAAACAGATATTCCAATCCGGCCAGGCCTTAATATTGCAGGATCAATGAGGTCTGGCCTTGATGTAGCAGCGATGATCCAAACTCCTGATAAGGAATCAACACCATCCAGAGCAGTGAGCATCTGGTTTACCACACGGTCTGTAACTCCTGTCTGGTCTTGTCCTCGCCTTAATCAACAATTCTATTAGTAAAACCATTGTTATAACATTATTTATGAAAATGAATCTCTGATATTTCATTAATTAACTTATTCCTGAGTTAAAAGTTGATATACTTAAATTTATGAATCCAATTTAAATAGCTTAAGATGCTAATTGTTTTTAAATCAAGCTAACTGATGAATTGAGGTTGTAACTGCAAAGACATAGGCTCAAAAACTGGAGTTGGAAAAGATTTTGGACAATAACAAAATGTATGCAATGCACAACAACCTTCCGTTATCTCATCATATCAACCAGTTCATCATATTAAAAACCAGAATTGAGCAAAGAGGACCATATTATTCTCATTTGGTCAAAGAAACTTTACAACTACTCATGTAGCTTTTTAATGGAGAACAGCATTTCAGAGGGATATTCCACATAGAACATTTTATTGACCTTGAATTGAACATTAAAACATGTTTTTAAACATTGTTAGCAAAGGAACCAAGATTTGTTTGTCTATCTGTACACATAGGCTCTTCTTTTTCAGCCACTGTTCTCTCCAATCCTTAATAGCAGCTCCATCTTACCTACCCAAGGAGAAGTGGATTGGACCAACTACTTCTTTTCATCGATACGTAGAAGGCTTTGTAGTATTAGTAGTATGGATAGTTCTGAGTAGCTTAGTAGTATGAGCTGAGAGAGATCTCTATCTGTCAGAAGTCACTATACGTCACTTTCTCCCCTAGCCATAAGTACTTCACAGATGGTACAGACAAGAAAGATATACTCGGTGCTCCATTACCATACAACCTGGATGTGTGGGATCAATGTTCTTACGATGTTCAATGAACTTTACTGTGGTTTTGATTCTTGAATAAAGGTGAGGAAATTTTTCTTTAGGTTAGTTGCTTTTGGCATTGTCATCCATCACTGGTTTCATTCTTCTTCACAAAAAATCCTCTTACATCTATCAAGAGTCTTCACTGATCCTCCAATTGAGATTATGCTAAAAATAGTCTTCTCACTGGAGCAGATAAATAGGTATACTTCTGTCTAGCTAAGAATTGTACCGCTTCATGAGTTATTGTCTGGTAAACTCACAGTTTAGTCATCTGCTAGATCGTCGCTAACTTTGTCTTCTATTGGTGCAACAGATGCTGACTCCAAACAAGGATATATACTTTAGGAGACCCACAATCGCTCTTTTATATATGATCATTATCATGGTCATAAAGAACTCCCTAATACTACAACGTCCATTGAGGACTGAAGTCCGAGATGGTCACAATAATTCTCAAGTAGTCCAAGTGAGACACAACATTCAAATTTCAATACTTTGCTAATTCTATCTCCTCTATTGAAGAGAAGCCTAATGTCATCTATGATCTGACTATTTCAACTTTGGCTTTATTTTACTAGACTCTATTAGACAGTCCACATAAGTCTTTGGTCATTCATTTTCTTTCTAATGACATTTAGACTGTTTTAGCGTTTCTTCAGTTTCTTTTGCTTTTCAGAACAACAAACTTGACTGACAAAATCTCACATGATTCCACATTAATCAAGAGTTTTCCCATTTTAAATATTTATTTTTCACATGCTTTCAACCTATGAAAAATGCAAATGATAAGGTTCAAAGTGGAATGAATAAAAAATAATTTATTTATTTACAGTAGAAATCATACAGTAAATTTCCAATATAACAGCCTTTTATAGAAATTTATCTAAAATAAACAAAACAGTTGATTTTTATAATGATACAAATATTTTTTCTAGAAATCATCCGACTTAAGGAAGTCAAATAGACGTTCACACAGCTGTATTCAAGGATTATAAAGGGTTTTTTTTTTTTAAGAAGATATTATGTGAGAGTCTGAATTGTTAACAACATGGCAATAGGAAGATCTTGGTGTGTAGTTTTCTAACATTTGAGTGTATTGCAAAAGCTGGGGCACATGGTCTAGTATGACAGGCCAGTAATGTTTTTAATAGACCAAAAAACATTAAGCAACAATTTTATGTTCTTACGTAATACACACTACTTTAATCCAAGCAAACTAAATTGAAATTCCTGACAAAAAGAAACAAGCAGACAAAACCCCATCCACCCAAATACTGTATGTTGCCCACACTGATTCTAATCAGAAAGGTTGGCCTCTCAGGACTGCACGTTCTCAAAGATTAAATAGTCTCCCAACCAATTATGAACTAATACATTTGATTTAATTTGTATTTTGATATTTATAATCCTAAGAGTTATATTTTTTCAAAACATTACATTTAAAAAGGTCATTTTTATTTTTATTTATAATTTTACAACAACCTGTACCACTACAACCCATGAAGGGTCTGGGGTTCAGTACTATTTAGGGAAAGCACTGTTTCTAGGTCAACGGTTGTGCAAGGAGGTGACTTGACCGAGATCACGCTCAACCGCCAGGTTTTCCCCCTTAATCAATTATTTAATTAAGGGTACCCACTTCATAGAGGCTGGGTGTGTCCCAGGAGGGACTTCTGACCCAAGGTCGCCCCACGGCCAATGAAACAGATAAATAAATTTTCTGCCATGAGCCGGGGTTCGAACTCGGGACCTTTGCATTAGAAGCTCAGTCCCCTACCACTGAGCTACCCCGCTCCCTATTTATAAGTTTACTATAATAAAAATTAGTAAAATAAAAATTATTAATATATATTATTAAATATATTGAAATAAAAATTGTTATTATTTGCTAATATAAATTAATTATTATATTTTATTTTATTAATTTCTGTCACATCTAAATGCAATATTTTACTTTAATCAATCATTCAATTAATCCTTGCTCATCAATAATAATTATTGCTCTCTGCACAGAAAAAAAAAGTTTTCATTAGAGAAATAATAATATGGAAAATACAAGAAGCCCTTTATTTGTTTTACATTCCAAATCAATTTATAATTAAATAAAAGCCAAATATCACATTTTATGGTTGATTATACCCGGAGATCATGAAAGGATTAATATAGATGATAAAATATCCTTTATAAGTTGGGTAGATATTGATAAGAGTTAAGCAGCAATCCATAAAAAACTAAAGCACATTCTTCATTATTTTTTGTTGTAATTCTAACAAATGTTATAATGATAAGTAATTTACTCAACACACATCTAATAATCCTGAATCAATTAAAAATTGTATTTTATAAACAAAGAAATTATTAAAATAATGTAATTACAAAACTGGTCAGAAATAATACATTTGAATCTCACCTCGGAGCCAAACTGTCAAATTCATCAAAAAATAACAAGCATGGTTTAGCAGCTTGAGCTCTGAAAAAAAATAGTGCATAAGATTTAATTAAAAACAGTAATAGTGAATATCTCAAATTAACATTGTATTCAGAAATGCAACTTATCATAAATATGAAAATTATATATTCTATAGAAAAAAACTCACTTTTCAAATAATTTTCTGACCCCTTCTTCACTTTCTCCAATATACTTTGACATGAGCTCAGGTCCCTGAAATCAAATTATAGAATTATTATAGACATAAACAAAGTACAGTGTTAATAATTCATTGGTAAAATTGATTGAAGAACTGCCAAAATTTCCCTACTTTGGGTGTAATCAGAAACAACTACACAAACGCAGTGTATAGCTCATGATTCATACAAATTCTCTACAGATCCAGAACATATATTGAGATAGAATTCAGAAATGATTACAAATCTTATAAACTTTTAAAAAACAATTAACATTTACAATAAAATATAGTGAATCAGTGTGATTGTAGGATAAGTAATCCTAGTCATCTATACACTTAAATAAATAAAAATTAATTGTCATAGTTTAATTAAAACCAATATAAATTCACTTTTCAATATTTTAAAAGTAAAAATTGGCTCATTAAATTCCTTAAGTATAATATTGAATAAATAACAACGAACACCATTTGGAGCCATCTAAAAACAGCTTCTAGATTTTATTACTTTAATCATTAACTTTATTTTTATCCAATGTTTCAACAACACTGATCATATAAATATACCAAATAAAAATCATAAGGTAGTTCAAAAATAAATTATTAATTATTATAATACCACTTACCAAATAAATGAACAATGAAAATCAATAAAAGTAAATATTATATAATAAACTATACTAAAGAATGTTATACTGCCATGTATAGGCCTTAAATTAAAAATAATAAACATTATTAAGTCAATAAAAGTTTGTGAACAGGTAAATCTTCTTTTTCATAAAATAAGAGACAGAGTTGCTCAGAAATGTCTAAGAGCTCCATGGCTTCAGCACTTCATTAACCTTAATTTATGATCTGTACTCATGTAGTATTACAATAGATAGCATTGTTTATTTAATATTTCATAAATAAACAATGCTAACAAATAGAGATGTGTAAAAATGTAATCATATAATTCAAATTCTCACCTTTATACTAATAAAGTTCATTTTACTTTCTCCAGCTAAAGCACTAGCTATCAATGTTTTACCTGTGCCAGGTGCGCCATACAATAAGATTCCTGTCTGCGGTTTAACAGGGCATTGTTTCATAATTTCAGGGTACTAAAATAAATAAATCTATGTTACTAAACAAAATGAAGAAAGTTTAAATACAATGGAATAAAACTCTGATGTTCATGAGCATACCAATGTTGACCAACAGATAACTTCCATCAGTTTAGCTTTAACTTCTTCTAAGCCTCCTACATTAAGCCAACATTTATTAACACATTTCCGTAAATTAATATTCTGAAGTGAAGAAGGTTTACTATTTTTAAAAGCAACATCAAAATCTTCTTTTTTCAGAACAAAGTTTCCTCCGAACTGTACTAATACAAAAAATAATTATATAGATTCATGTTCATTACATAATTATCATAAAAACAAATATTATTATAATTTCTATATTATCTGCTCATTTTTATTTCCTCATAGTCAAATTCAGAGAAAAAATTTATAACTCCCCTTAAAAAAGACGGTGATCCCAACAGAAGTAAATGACAAACAAAAATTTGAAAATCCTAAAGAAAAGGATATCTTGAGATCTCCCTTATAAGCAACATAACATTATAATCTTTTTTAACCTACCTTTTTTCCGAAGCTTATTATTTATTAATTGAAAAATTATTCACTTTGGTAGAAGTTGGTTGGGTTGACCACAAGACTTTGATCTCACCCTTAATCAACGCCTTTACTATGTGGTCTAGGGTCAACAAGATTTCTGTCATTATAATTAATTTTTTCATCGGTACCGGAATCAAAGTCATTTAAAACACAACGCTTCTTTCCCTTTCTCTTCTTTTTTACTAGACCAAGAACTAGAGGAGCTTTATGTTATTAAACTATTCTAATTAGTGTCAAAATAGAAAGGAAGTTGAACTATCTTGTAAGAGAATCAAGCGAAAATTCAAGGTATATCTAAATAAATATTACCACTTAAAACTCAGAAGGAATAGGAAACACTACTGTTGATGGCAGTTACATATATTTTAACTTCTCTATTCTTATTTTTTTTTTTTAATATAAAACTGAATAATTTGAACAATTAATATTCTAAACTTACTAGATTACATCCAAATTTATATTTATATATATAAACTGACATGGCCGTATGAAATGGGTTTCATTACTTGTGATAAAAGCATTGTGTATTATATTACTTTATAACCTCATTAAGAAACAAATAAGTTTCCATTTTAATCCAAGTTTGCATGTTAAATGCAATATTTAACATGGTAGCAGAGGTCTGTTATTGATTAGATAAGTATCACTGGTATATTGTAGAAGAAGAAAAGTATTAATTTTTAACAAAGAAATTCCAGAGTAGGTGATTGCAATGTCGAAATATAGAGCTATGAAGAAGGTACAAAATTCCCACTAGAAATATCACTAAAATTAATAATAAAAAATGTTAAAATGTTATTAGATCAATTTTACACTACTTATGACAAAACCTTATATATAATAACTAGATAAAAATATCCTTTTAGTAACAATACTTAGGCAAACAATTTAAAATATACCTTTTCTTTGCCAAGCCTCAAAGACTGCTTTTTCAGTAAGTCTCTTAAGATCAAGAGGAGTATATCCCTCACATTGATAAATGATATCTCTCAAAAATATATCATCACTCAACTCAGACCCAGAAATCTTAAATACCAATTTCTTCACCAATTCTAAGCAATCATCCTAACAGAAATAAACAAACACTAGAGAAACACTATTATGTCTTTTATATTATGTAAAAAATCAGCTTTTAGAAAAAGTAAGAAATAGAGCATAATAACTAAAAGAGTATCTATTTACAATTAATTTGAGAACAGGGTCTTCCTTCCCAATATTATGTTATACTCCATTTTACATATGTTGAATCAACGTTCCGAGTTTTACCTCATAATCATAAAACTGTATGTTAACAGCAATTCATCCTCATTTTGTATCTCAGCTTTCCCCATCTCACTTTTCTTTTTCCATCTGGTTCCATGATATTAAATTTTGATTTTTTTTTTTTCATTTTTAGACATATCTGCATTATTCAAATCATAATTCCACCCTATGCTCAATCGCTCATGCATAAACCAGAGTTAGGGTCTGCATGTCATGGAATGATGTACTTTTAATATATCTTTTTTGATGATAAATAGAAGAGATATCTTTTATTTATAATGTGTGTTAGAAATGACTTTTTAACAGAAAATATAACATTTTTTTTTAATATAACAAAGAATGATATAAATTTTCTCTAATAAAAATACTTTTCAGTTATCATAATTTATAAAACAAACAAAATGATACAGCATTTTCAAAGATCAAACTTACTCTAGAAAGATCAGGAACTGTTACAATAGTAGAAAAAAAAGATTTCCCTTTTTTTGAAAACAGTTTTGGATTGATATCATCTAAACTTTTCACAGCGCCGACAACTGAGAAAAAATGTTTATCCTGGTATGATTGGATGATTTCTACCAATTTATTGGTAATCCTAAAAAAAATAAAAAATAAAATAAGAAGTCAACCCAAGGTAAAACGAATGCTAAAATATTTTCATGTAAATACCTATCAGAAATAGCAAGGATTTCTGATAAATTTAATCCCAGCTTTCAGAATTTGATTAAAAGTGGACTTCAAAAGAAAAATACAATTGTGATGATAATAAAAAAAATCATTTTAAACTAGGAAATAAAGAAAAAAAATTACCGAATCAAATGGAAGGCCTGTTCAGAAGCATCTTCTAATGAAACTGATAAAATATCTAAATCATCAAGGAATAAAATTGAAGGTTCATGTATGACGCAGTTTGATAAAATGTCTGTCATGTATTTACCCAAAGCTTCAACCCTTTTACCTGAAAATTTAAAATTAAATAAAATCATTTAATTTGCATTAACTGAGTTTCCTAAAACATAGAGACCACAAAGGAGAAAAGGAAACATTATCTGTAGTAAAATTTAAAAAACATAATATATTTAAAATGCCAAGGATTTATATGTACTTTCAATTATCTAATGACATCTAGTTTAGTTTAAAATGTCATGTGTAATTTTAACAAATGTAAAGTGTAATTTTATTTGTTTTTACAGAAATTACATTAAAAACAAATAAAATAAAAATATATATTTATAGACAATTTTTTTATTTATTCAGAAACACTTTCTCCCATTATAAAAATAATATAATTGAAAATTATGGCCTATAAAGACTAAACATTGTGGATTTAAAAAAAAAAAAAAACTACAAGGAGTGATAAATCAAATGTGATGAGTCAGATTATATAAATCTCACAAACTAAAATAGTAGTAAAGAACATGAACAACTGTTAAAAGGTTGGGACCAATTCAACTGCACATTTTCCCAGGAATAAAGATATCATTTTGAATCCTCAAAACAAATAATTCATTAGACTGTGTTTTATAGTTTTAAAAATTGGAATATATTGTGATACATAGCAGTCATCAAAATGACAAAAATTAAGGAGGTAATAGGAGCCTAAACGATTCTAAAGCAAGAAGTAAACAAATATAATAGAAACTTAGATCTGCTCAAAAGTAACTTCTAGATTTATAACTATCAGATAAATTTCAGCATGTTGGTTTTTAGAAATCTGGTGAAATTTTTAAGTATGATTTTTATAATTACACATAAACATTTATTATTTTTTTAGAATCAGCAATGCAGCTAAATGGTATATTTGGTTCAGATTGTTTCTTTTTGTTTAAAATATGTCTTAAAATATTAACAGCTAGAGTAAAAAGTATCAGGTCGTCTCATACAACAAATTCACTTGAAGATGATGATCATCATCAAAGTTCTGTCAAATCAATCAATCAACCCTTTGATACTTTATAGGCCATTGATCCCAATAGGGAACAAATGTTTGGAAAATTATTTAAAATGTTTATTTCAAAGTAAACACTTACTTACTTGGCATATCTGATACGTATTCTAAAGGTCCGACCTAACTCTCACTTATATTTTTTTATAATATTATCTATTGATTGAGGAGTATGCTGTGTTATTTAGCAACTCAAAACAGTTGAGCAGCTTCTATCTCTCTACATTTGAATAAAATCAGAACTTATTTTCGAATATAACAACTGATAATTTTTACAAATTATAGTTACAGCAATTAAATTAAATATAACATTTTAGATTTATCTTTTTATAGAGAAAATTTCAATTTGAATACTGCAGAAATATTTATTTTCTTGAAGAAAAAATTATCAAAATTAATAAAGAAAATCATAAGAAAAGAAAAAGAACAGCAGACATTAAATTGGAATGAACTTTTCAATTTCAATTAATTACATTGATGTTGAAATCCTGAAGTTTATAAATCTTGGAATGCAATTTATTTTAAAGTATATATATATATATATATATATATATATATATATATATATATTATATATATATATATATATTTATTTATTTTTTTTTTTTTTTTTGTCCTCCCCTTCCTTGCCTTGGCATAGAATCAAGACCAACCAGATACCGGGATTTGAACTCGTAATTGTTTTTCTATCTTAAACTTTGGTTATCAAGTTGCTAGGCAAAGCACAGTGCAGTGCACACATGTAAGCCCGCTCGACCAGCCCGTCCCCTTATTTTAGAGTACATAACAGAATAATGTTTTTAACCAGCCTGGCATACCTTTAAGTAAACAGCAGTTAATAGTTTTTGTATAGATGTAAAATGGTGGTCCATTCAATTTTTGTAAAAGATAATTAACCAGCGATGTTTTACCAGAGCCAGGTTTTCCTAAAAGTTAAATGATACACTACTTAAAAAAATTTAAATACAAAAATAAAATCAAAGCAACAAATAATATGGTATCTTACCAACATAAATAACGTTGTCATAAAACCTATTACTTTTGACTTCCTGCAGTGCCAACGAAATTTCTATAGCCAGTTTTCCCTTTTTGAATAATTCTTCAAAAATTCTATGAACCAAAATTTAATTAATAATCTAATGCATTTGTTCACATGAATGGTTAAAATGTAACAATAATAAAAGCTTTAGTGAACCAGAAGGTTTGATGCCAATACCACCAATTTTTGTCTACATATTCCACTCCTGTAGCAGATCTAGATCCTGAGAAGCCCCTTGGTTAGGATGTGGGATTGCCGTGCGGATTTAGAGATATGAAATTTCCCCAAGAGATATATATTTTTTTTTTCTTTCTTTTCTTCCTTCCTGGCCATTGCTGCCATATGGGGTGGTTATTCTACAGGTACACCAACCTATTCTAGCCTGAGGGTGAAAGTCGAGATTCATTCGATGTACCCACCATAAAATAAATTACAAGTTGTTAATGTAACATTTTAACACACTCAGCCACCAGGACTACAAGAGATGTGTAACCACTTCAGCATGAAATTCTTACAATATGAACTTTTTTGAAATTTCAATATAAACTTCTTTGAATGAATATGAAATTCTTGCAATATGAATCTTTTTAATTCTCCTCTTCCCAGCCTTTTCAGCTATACAGGGTTTTTTCCAGGCCAGGGGAGAAAGCGGAAGATTAATGCGAGTTAAAACTCTCCAGCACTGGGATTTGAAATTCTAATCTTTGGTTTATCAGGTTGCTGGACAACGCATAATTTGCACTTGTTAGACTGCTCAACCGCCCTTCCCTTTTTTTTTTTTTTTTCCTTCCCTTCTTTTCCTTTTAGACTACATGGGATTTTCCACAGCCGGGGGAGAGAGCGGAGAAATTATGCTGAGTTAAAGGCCCACCAGGCACCGGGATTAGAACTTGCAATTATTTTTCCATTTCTAACTTCGGTTATCAGGTTGCCGGACAACGTGCTGTGCTGCGAAAACGCGTAAGCCCGCTCAGCCCCACTGGACAGGAAAACATTTGATAATGTTTTTATTGAAATACAAAAACAGAAGTAAACAAATTTAACAAGAATATTATAAATAAATCAGTCTCACATAGTCTCTATCTATAAGGGACAAGCACTGACAAAAATTTTGAAATAGTAAAAAACTGCTATAGGTGCTCGATTCTTATATTACCAGGTGCAAGTATTGACAGCTTAAACACCAGATTTATGCTACACAATAGGGTTACATAATGACGAATGCCAGCAAGAGAAAATTAATAATTTTCAAAAGAAAGATACTTCAAAAGATATTTGGTTTATTAAAGGAAAATAATGAATGGAGGATAAGACATGACTAAGAACTGGGCAACTTATACAATTTGCCAGATTTGGTGAAGTATGTCTTGTTTTAAGGAATAAGATGGGTGGCCCACAATAAACAGATGGACGAGACAACCCCAAAGAAGTTGCTAAGCATGGAACCAGATAGAAAAAGAAAAGTGTGATGGCCAAAGCTGAGCTATATAATGAAGTAAGAGGCGATGCCAGAATTCTTGGAATTAGGAACTGATGGTTGGCTGGTTAGAACAGAGAAAAGAGGAATGTGACTCCAGAGGTAGTCAAGATCCCGTATTGATGGTAGAGTTAAATGAACACAGAAAGCATTGGTAAATTCATGCCTTACATTCTTACAAAGCCTACTAATTTCCTGTCACGAAACAATTTAACATTCTAGCCATAATTTGCAGAGGATTACTTCAGCACAGAAAGACAGCTCTCCATTTACTATACTATTTGCCGCATTAAGATTATTATTGCAGTTAATTTATTTTAATTACAAAACTGTTTTGTTTAACTTAAAATAAAAGATTGCACATTAATAAGAGTAAACTTACACTACGTAATTTCCAGATTCAGATTGATGAACTAAATTACTGCTGTTTGAACCTTGTTCATTTCGCTGAGTATATTCATTTAAATGAATAGTTAACTCTTTTATTTTATGTATATTAATAAAAGTCCATTCTACATGAAGAGGTCTTAAAGTAACAATAATACTTCCTTGACTTAGAGGGTAACTAGTTTTAGTATTTATAAGCAGGTCACCATGCTGGTTAACAGCTTGAGTAAAAGTTTCACGAACATCAGTGATTAATTTCTCTTTATCCTGATGAAAAAATTAAACAAAGAAATAATCATTCAAAAACTTGTTCTAAAAACACTCATAAAAATCGCCAAAATAAAAATACATATATATACATATATAATTGAAAGTAAAAAGTAATTAAAAATAATCAAAAGAATACATAAACATAATTTATAAGTTCTAATATTGTTTGTGAACTGAAACTAAAACTTGCTCAAAAAAATTAGTATTCTATATAATGGAAACAACATTCTAGTTATTTTGATGCTACCATGTGCTTTTAAGATGGAAGATATATATTTTAACAAAATTCTAGAGAATTTAAACATGAAAGTTATATAATAGAGGATTGAATACGAAAATACCAAATTTTATAGAATATAATAATAATACTTTATTTATTCTGGAATGAGTTCCTTTAGAATAATACAGAAAGACAGAAATGAGGGCTAAGGAGCCACAGAGATACATAAACAAAAATATAGAGTAATTAAACAATCATACAATTTCATAGGAGCTGTCTGGATAATAAATTATTGAACAGGCGGGATTTAAAGGTAGGAAGGGTATTGGATTGAAGAATGTGAGAAGAGATGGAGTTCCATAGGGATGAGGATCGGATAATGAACGATCTGTCGAAAGCAGCTGTTTGGTGGGCCATTATGTATAAATCAGAAGACTGAGAACGAGTATTGCAGGAACGAACAGAGGATTTGAATCGAAGGAGCTCGGAGATGAATGAAGGATAGTGGGATTGGATGACGTGAAAAAGAAAGGATGCCAGGAAATACTTACGACAGCAGGAAGGATAAAGCCACTTCAACTCTGCATTAAATGGGAAACAGAGGCGTCCCTTGGTATCCCGAAGATGAATCCTACAAAGCAATTTATCAAACGTTTTAGTTTTGACTCGAGATCGCCCCCATACACTGAAACCCATATATTCAACATTCAATTTCAACTTGTTAACTTTTGCCCAGCCACAAATTCTATTGTCTTCTTGAAGTTTTTTTGTGGTTGATAATAGGTCGGAGGGGGAGAAGGACAGGTATATTAGGAAATCATCTGCATAGATATGGTGTTAGGAGTGATAGATCAAAAGGGGAAGGACATTAATGTATATAGCAAACAGAGTATGAGACAGAGAGAAACTTTGAGGGACTTCACAGGAGAAGGGAAGGATCTTAGATGAAGGTTGATTTGGGACTACTACATACTGGGACCGACTTGAAAGGAAGGATTTGAACCAACGCAGGGCACTGTTGGATAGAGGAAGATTGTGCAATTTGTGAAGGATGTTACGGTCAACTGTGTCAAACACTTTTTGGAAAAATCTAGAAGGATGAGGATGGTAAGGTTTTGGTGTTCAATGGAGTTTTGGAGGTCATGGGTTATTTTAAGAAGAGCGGATTGCGTTTAGTAGCCAGGTTGAAAGCCAGATTGGAATGGGTTACTAAGGGAACACTTCCTCTAGGAAGTTGGAGAGTTGATTTGAGGTGTTCTAACGGCTTTGAAAGGTTGGATAGGAGAGAAATAGGACGAGGGTCGAGCAGTGTGGTAGGGTTGGAAAATTTATTCAAAGGTCGGATTAGGGCAGTTTTCCAGGAGGATGGGAATATGGAGTTTTGCAATGAAAAGTTGTAGATATGATAAAGAACAGGAATAAGGACAGGAAGGCTGGATTTTATTAGTTTTACTGAAATATTATCAGGACCATAACCATTCGTGTGGGATTTTAGGATAGTAGAAAGTAATTTATCGTAGGACACATGGGAGAAAAAGAAGTCTTCAGGATTGAATTCGTGATGTTGTGATCGAATGTAGGAGAAGAATATAGGTTGACTACATTTGGATTGAATCCAGAAAAATTTTAAAACGATCAGCCTTGGCGCTTTTTATTTCATTTGTAATTCATTTTTTAATCTATCTTTGTTATAAGAGATTTAGATAATAAAGATGATACAATTAATAAGTGATAACATGTTTACACATTTTAGAGAAAAAACATACAATTGAAAAAATTGTTCAAAACAGAATCACGAAATATATATATATATACATATATATGTTCAAAGCAAATGGTACATTTAAACTAAGAACTAAAAACAAAAAAAAAAAAAAATGACACAAATGAATACAATCAACTGGGGTAACTTATGCTGATTTCTCTGATAAAATGGTCTTCTTTGATATAAATTTTCATACTGGTTTAGGAATAATTTTTGACATGATGAGGTGATGGAAGGTAAAACTTTGCTAATCTGCATCTCAAAACTCACTTTTGGAGCATGGACCATTCTTGCAGCTACAATCTCAATTCATATTCAAAATACTTTCTATTAAATAAAAATTAAACAAAATGAAGCATGGCAACAGATTTATAAGTTAATGTCACTCACTTTTCTCAGATATATATTATTTCATTAAAACACCATATTTTAATTTACCCTGGTCTAGTAGAATAAGAAAGAAGAAATAACACACATAACGTTTTATCCCAAGAACCTAACCCTAAATTCAAATGGAAAATCCTTAAGAACCTCTCTGTTGTTACCTCGAAAACCTGCACACAGTATTCAATCGATCCCAACATGCTAAATTCTTTTTTCACTAACCATTTTCTATCCACATCTCCATCTGACCGCTCATCTTTTTCCATTATCAAAACCCCCTTTGATCCTAATAAGTTTTACTTTCTTGACATCTCTCCTACTGACCTGCTCTCTGCCACCCTTAAATCCAAATACCTGTCAAAGTTATCAAACTCTGCCTTCCAGCTTTACTACCCGCACTCCTACACATATATAATTTCTCTCTCCAAAATTCCATTTTTCCCAAATCCTGGAAAAAAGCCATAGTCCGTCCACTGAACAAAGTTCCAACTCATTCATCAGGTTCCGACTTCAGACCCATCTCCATTCTATCCAATTTATCCAAGCCTCTAGAAAGATTAGTTCACTCTTAGTTGAACAGCTTTCTCGAGCAAAACCACCTCCTCAATCCCTTACAATCTGGTTTCCGTTCCCAGTATTCCACCCAGTCTGCCTTGCTAAGGATTACCCAAGACCTCCAATCCGCCATAGATAAACAGAAAATCTCCATCCTAATTCTCTTTGACTTTTCCAAGGCGTTTGATTCCGTTAATCATGAGATCCTTCTTTCCAAACTCCAAACCTGCCCATGTCAGATAGCGTCCTAAAATGGTTCCTATCTTTCTTATCAAATCGATCTCAGACAGTTACAATACCGAATAAACCTCCATCATCATCACTGCAATTAACGTGAGGTGTTCCTCAGGGTTCCTCACTCTCCCCGACCCTTTTCTCCATCTATATTAATGACCTTCCTAACGCCATTCAACACTCCAATTACCACCTATATGCCGATGATTTCCAAATATACAAATCATTTCAACCTTCTGAGATGCCTGAGGCTGCCTGGAGGCTACAAGAGGACATCGACAGATGGGCAGAAATAAATTAATTAAAGCTGAATGCAGATAAAACCAAGGCTATTATCATCGGGTCCAGACATCTCATCAGCTCACTTCCTTACTTTCCTCTACTTTATCTCAATAACCATCCCATCCATTTTTTCCCAACAGTCAAAAACCTAGGAGTAACCTTTGACCAGAACCTCTCCTGGGATAATCATATCTTCCAGATTATCCGAAAATCCATAACTGCCCTTAAACAACTCCTAAGATTCCTTGATTGTATTCCTCTAAAAACCAGACAGCTCCTTGTAACCTCCCTTGTATTACCCCACTTCGACTACGGCTGCTTGGTGTATGGAGGGCTATATGCCAGGCTGGAAATGAGACTAAAAAGACTCATGAATTGTTTCATAAGATACATTTTTGGGATCCCCAGGCGTTCACATGTTTCACAATGGTACACCGAGTCGAAGTGGCTTTTTCCTACTTCCCGACGACAATTCCTTCTTGGTGTTTTCCTTTTCTAAGTCTTTAGAACCAAAAACCGTCCCTACATCCTGGAACTCCTTACTCTGCGCTCCTCTATCCACTCTCTTAATACTAGGTCTCAACCTATAGACTCATATATTCCCTCCCATAAAACTTCCTCCTTCAGCTAATCCTTCGTCATTCGTGCTGCTTCCTTATGGAACTCACTTCCTACCTCCATGCGTCAATCCTCATCCACAAATTCCTTCAAACAACTCCTGTTCCAACACCTACTCCACATTCAAACTTCCCCTAACATGTAAAATTACTTGCATCTATACAATGTTTAATTTCAATCCATTGCACAATTGTAATAACAATAAACAATAAATTAGTGTGTATTTTTACTATGTCAGACTAAGATACATAAATTTGTAACTCTGTTATTATTCTTAGGGGACAGTAGTCCCAGAATAAAATTATTTTTTCATTTCATTTCAAGTACCACTAAAATATGCTTTACCTTGGCTTATACTGGTCTGATTTATTTGATATTTCTTTTATTTTATAGAGAATTCAATTATCTTGTAATCTAATGATCACCTACAATTTTCCAAGAGAGAAGTGGTTTTGGAGTTATTCCAAGAACATTTTTTTTAGGTTTCACAATTAATTATTTAAACTACTGACAGTTCAATTTTTTCCAAACCCAGCCTTATTGAACATTTACCGCATAATAGGAAATATCAACCAAATTTTAGCTTTAAATGCATTTTCATATTTGAGATATAGTGATCAATAAGACAGTGATTGATTTATATATTTTTTTAATATAAATATATTAATTGTAATTACTAGGCAATTATAACCATTGCTTACCATATCAAAATTAGAAGATATTAAAATTCCTGTAACTTGAGCAACTTCAGTATAATCAACTAGGTCTAAAGAAACCTTCAAACCAAGCTCCAAACCTAATTGATTTTTCAAAATATCTGAAATATAAAGGTGTTTAAAATTATAGTCACAGGTCTTTTTGCATTCGTTTGGTTCTATAATTAATAAACTAACGAAACAGCTCAATCCATCCTCATCCCTCTTCCTCAATTTCCAGACAGTCTTTTTATTAGATGATATAGTGGTCAGAGCCCATCCTGGAATTGATTCTTGAGAGGCGAAAACAACATATGGATGAGTACTAAATATATTGTCTTGTTTTGGAGCTTTATCTAAAATAACACACCGAAACTTGAGTGTTTTAGATTCTTCCAGTTTTTCTTTTAAATTTTTTACAGAAGTCGTCACATGATCTGTAGATGCAGGTTTTATTTTTTTAATGTCATTTTTCGTTACTGCATCACAGACTACAACTTCTGTGTATTCTTCTAATCTGCCATAATTCAAATTAGGAGAAAAAGAATCTGCAAGCAAAACAACAAAAGACTAATTGATTATAAAAATAATTAAATATTGTAACAGAAATATATATAGAAAATTATATATTAAACTATATAAACTTTATTTTTATAGAAAATTATACTTTAATTTTATTAAGTTAATTTTTAATTATATAACTAAAATATAGTAAAATTAGTACCACAAGAACTCTCACATTAGATATTTATCCTTCTTTTCTCAAATACATTCTAAGAATAAGCGATAATAAAAGAAGGAAATATTTTTATTCCTATAAACAATATACTATTACCAAAAAATTCCACAGTTGGAAAAGCTAGATACTTATTAATGACTATGTTGAACCAACATTTTACTCAATAAGCAATCAGCTTTCTCTATTGGGAAATACTACTTTCATAGTACTTTTTCTAAACTACTTTTAATTTATTTATCTATATATAAAAGAGAGGAACACTTTATTTTCATATAAAAGTGTGCTGCCCAATTATATTGGGTTACTAAATACAAAGTATACAACTTTCGAATTCGAGTTTTCAACAAAACAAACAAATGTTGTGATATTACCTGAATAAGATAGCCAAGTCTAGCGACAAGTTATACAAAACTGAAATTGTGTATTTAATCAAAGTAAGTGTATGCCTGGGGGGCAAATGGGTAGAGTAACGGGAGGTCTAGAGAGGGAGATCTGTTGAGGATTGTGACAGGAGTCTTGGAGGAATGGTGTCGGTCTAGGAGACTGAGTGTTAACCCGGCCAAGATAAACATTTGCATCTTCACAATGAATAAAAAGGTAGAAGGAAGTAAGTTTACCTAAAATAAATAACATCCAGCTAACATTAAGTAAGGAGGTCAAACACTTAGGTGCTATGCTGGACAATAAAATGTTGTGGAATAGACATGTGGAGTACACAACTAATAAAGCACTAAAATGCCTTTGGGCGAGTAAAGATGCTATTGGGAAGGCATGGTGGCTCAAACCTCAGATGGTCTACTGGCTGCATGTCACCCGACAAGAGGTTAGACCTATGCTCTTATATTCAACTGTTGTATGGTGGCATAGGGCAAGAGTGGGCCACTACTCAAAAAATTACAGAGATTAGCCTGTTTAATGATAACAGGTGCAATGAAAACTACTCCGACTGCAGCCATGGAAGTAATGTTAGGTCTATTACCTCTGCAGTTGTAGATAAAAAAGCAGGCCTTGAAAACTTTTTATAGGCTACAAACACTAAATTTATATTCAAAGATAAACAACCATGATTGACATTGGAAAATAATTAAAAAAATTGAGAAAGACAGGGTGCTTACAATGCACTCTGACTAGAGAATTTCTAACAAAAATTTATAATGTTAAAATAGACAGCTCAGGAGAACATAAACCCATTAGTGGGATTAATTGTTACACTAGTGGGTCACTAATGACATGCAGATCTGGCGCTAGCTTTTGGAGAAAGGATGAGTCAGAGGAAGGCATGTCAATACCATTTGGCAAATATGCAATGGAGTTCCAATGTAAAATACTGGTGATAACTCACTGTGCCTCAAAATTGTTGCTTGATGAGCTGGTGGGAAGGAAAATTTCCATATATACTGACAGTCGAGCAGTAATACAAGCATTGGACAATTATACAACTAGATCTAAGGCTGTTGAGGATTGTGCAGGAATTCTCCATGACCTTTCTAGACTCAATAAGATAAACATTGAATGGGTTCCATGTCACTCTGGAATTCATGGTAATGAGATAGCAGATGAACTAGCCAGACTAGGCTCACAAGCGATTCCCATAGCTCCTGAACTCATTTGTGGAATAAGTCTATGTCTAATAAGTAACAGAATTGGCTTAAGCTCACTTAAGAAAATTACAGCAGTATACACTGGGCACTGTAAACTGCATTATCATATGTTCAATCTCCGGCTAATGGAGCCGTCTCTTTGTATGTACTATGGCAAAGATGATGAAACAGCTTATCAAATCACTCATGTTTTCGTTCATATGTTTCATTCCGGTACACCGAATTGAAGTGGCTTTATCCTACTTCCCAACCACCATTTCTCCATGGTGTTTTTTTTTTCCAACTCCTCAGAATCAAAAAGCCTCCCTACATCCTGGAACTCCTAACTCTATACACTCTCTTACTACCAGGTCTCAACCTCTAAATTTATATATCACTTCCCATAAAACTACTTCCTTCAGCAAATCCTTCATCATTCGTGCTATCTCCTCTTCGTGCTATCTTCCTACCTCCATACGCCAATCCCCTTTTACAAATTCCTTCAAACAACTCCTGTTCCACCACCTACTCCAAATTCAAACTTCCATCTGTGTATTGTTTAATTTCAATCTACAGCACAATTGCAATAACAATCAGCAGTTAATTAGTTTGTATTTTTTATTATTCTAAGCCAGACTCAATATAGAAAAGACAGAAGACCCATAAATTTGTAACTCTGTTGTTATTCTTAGGGGACTGTAGTCCCAGAATAAAATTATTTTTTTCATTTCATTTCATTCATTCATTCATCACTCAGAAAGAAAAATCAAAATCGAATAGAATTATGTTTGATAAGATATTCTAATTGCATTTTTTTCATTTGCATTTTTAAAGAGAGCTCTATTATTATAAATTTATAACTGGCATATAGCTATAACATGAGTACCATGTTGAAATGAAACAATTAGTACTGACTGAAGGAGAAAAGTGGGTTCAAATATTTTTTTGTAAAAAGTAACGATGGAGTTAGAATTTTATTCATGAATAATTCAAAAAGAGCACAATTGGTACTGCTCTGTTTTGTATTGTAAGTACATATAAAAGAGTATGTACAAATATATAAAAGCGTAGAAAAAAATGTTGCGAAATGTAAATTCATTTATGTTTTCCTCAAATATTTCAAAATAATGATTATGAAATAAAGAATTTCGACCATTAAATAACACTAGTAGATTTTAATAATTATGTATAAACTACAGATGGAAACCTGTGGCCTCCGTGACGTAACTGCAGCCTCGGAAGCCATATGCAGCCTTCGAACATTTTTGCACGATATTTATTAATCTAATGCTAGAATTAATTAATATTTAATTATTTAAGTTAGGAAAATTTGAAAATTAGTATTATTAAGTTGAATATAAATAATACATGGGTGTGTATACTCAGTAATAAATAACAATAGCAACAGCAAAATATAAAGATTGTTGTGGCCTCCATTAGCACTGCCTAATCTCACTAATCATCTAATGATACAAAGGTTCCCCACCTATGGTATATACCATTGGCACATTCTGAAAAATCAGTCTAGAAATTAAATCAGTAAATTAATTTGATGAATTTCCTATCTGTGAAAATACAATACAGCACTTAGATGTTATTATCTTGGCCATATCGACAGTTGGTAATATAAACATCTTCACTCCATTTCGGTAAACTTTATAGGCTCATTAATATTATACCAAAATTAATATCATGAAAAGATAATTAAACAGCATTTTAAACACTATTTTAAAAGTAACAAAATAGTGCAAAAGAAAATGTAACTAAATATCTTAAAATAAATAATGTAGGATAACATGAAATGAAACAAATAAAACATTACCAACAACTAAATTTACAGAAACATTTCTTGAAACCCAAACTGGAAATATTTGTTTGGGCCATACAATCCTTAACTGATTCAAGAGAGACCCTTCAACTTCTAAAGATGAAGATCGCTGAAACAATATATATATTTTTCTTTTACTCAACTGAAAATGTTTTTCATAATCAAAATAAAAATACTTTGCCTGTAAAAATAAACATTTACAAATAAAGTAGAATATTTGAAAAATTCTAATGGAATGAAAAACATGAATAATTCTTCTTATTTATTTTCGCAATAGCAATATTTTGTCCATAGTCCCCATCCTATTACGACTTATGCTCACTTGACTTTATTATCTCACACCTTTTTTTTTTGTTTTTTCAAAAACCTTTTTTAAAAATTATATTGCTAATAAAAAAATAGCTCCACAGTTTCATACAATAGTAAAACTTTCAACAGTTGTAGCTCTTTTGGAAGGTGATGATGTACCCAGAGGAAAGGAGGTTTTACTAAAGCTGCTAACAAAACAGTGTGTTTAGTGACATAAGAAATGTTAATACAATGTACAGTAGTAACTTTGGATATCAGCGAGGTGGTGAGTATAAAAATTCTTCAACAGTAGAAGAATAATATTATTATATCTTGGCTGGTTGAAATTACTTTAAACATTACTGAAGACTAGCTTGTGATATGTTGTCTACTTCTAATGTACAAACTAACCATCACACTGTTGGAAGTTTTAAAAATTAATAGTAAAGACCTCTGCTAATCTGAGGGTTGAGTTACTAAATTTCTAAAGAAGACTGAGTGTCACTTAAAATTAAAGAAGTATTAGATTAAATACTACATTTCGGAAAAATATTTGGTACTTGTCGGTTAGGAGGCCTGGACAAAACCTCCCTTGTTATCTAATGTTATATCACATAACATCCCTTCTTATTTCATGAAAGCTTTGAGTTATTCCATTGTTTATTTTTGTTCCATTTGTGTTATTTTCATCAAATTATGGATGTTATTACATTCTGGGAATTACCATTTTCAGAAGAAGAGGCTATTGAATATTTTCAAAACGCTGGGATAATTCAAAACGTGAAATTGTGTGAAGAAGGTCATTCAACGAAGTTAGACAGGAAGGCGAAATGGAGATGCTTTCGTACCACTTGTAACAAAAAACTTTCTGTAAGCAAAGGAACGTGGTTAGAGGGATTCGTTTTTAACGGCCTTAAAATGTTTTTATGGGTGGTTTTTTTATTATTTCATTTGTTTTTGTTATTACATTTATTTTTGTCTATTTCATATATGTGTTGTAAAATTAAAGTGTTTCCTCATTGTTGTGAGAATTATTAATTTCTTTTTGTCTATTTCAATTTCAAACCAAACTGTTTTGTTATTATTACATTTTTTTCGTCTATTTAATATATATGTTGTAAAATAAAAGTATTTTTTTAATATTACATTTGTTTTTGTTTACAATTTCAATAATATGAATATAATACAATAAATATTAATACAAAGATAGAAATTATGAGAAACCTTATCAGAATTATCAGTGTTCAGATTATAAACATTGGCAGATAGCAGTCGGTCCTGTCCGGCTAACCGACAAATTCCACAACCGAACCAAAACCGACAAGTCCCAAATGTTTTATAGACAAATATAGCATATATGGTAACATGATATGCATTTAAGGAGGGGTTAATAAGGATTATCAAATTTGATAATTAGGTATAACTACTTTCATATATCTATCTAAAATGTCAATGTGATCTTGTGCCAAGCCGCCAAGTTGATAAATCAATTTGGAACCAGTAGCAAAGTTTCTCAAAGATAAAATTTTTAATAAAAAAAAAAACAAATTCAATCACATGATATAGATGTCAAAAGGAGATATATTCAGAGTAATAATAATATATTTCAGATGAATTTCTTAAATAGCACAAAAAATAACCCAAGTGTTCAAAAGTTGCAAAATAAATAGACACCATGATTTTTAAAATAATTTAAACCGTAATTGTTTGCTAATAATTGATCATAAAACATTAAAAAAGTAATAGATATTAACTGAAACAACTCAACAAATTTTTAATAGAGCTTAATAATTAATTTATTAAAATATCAGTCAAAGCCTGTGATAGTAATTATCAGCAATTGAAATATAGTTTTAAGAAGCTTATAACAGTTTTAAAAACATAGAAATAGATTTTTAAACAATAAATAGATTCAACTTGTACCAGAATCTCAAAGTCATCCTCAGAAACCGGAGTCACATTGACTGACTGAATAGAGCCAATATTATAGACAGGTCTAACAATAATTTCTTCATTTTCATTAAGTTGCAGAGCTTTTGCATATTTATTGCTAATACCTATACATTCACTGGTTAATCCTGCATAAGGCACTGGATAAGATGAAAAAAACAACTCTCTTCCTTCTGAGGTGACTAATTTAAGACCTCGTACCTACAAAACATGGTATGTTAAATTAATATAGATACTTTAAAAAAATTAGAAACTAGTTGATGGTAAAAATTAAGGAAATCAAGTGGTAAAATAAATCAAAACAATTCAATATATATTTTATTACCGATGGTCCTATAAGTTTGTCATAATTATCCTTTGATAAATGTATAAAACAATTTGGTACATTGATAAATCGAACAAATACAATTTCGCTACTCATACTGTGAACAAAACATTTATCACTTTTATCATCAAAACATAACCTATTCAACCCTTATTCTGTACCTGAACTTGATAGTTACCTTCTTTTAATTAATTAATCAGTATTTGTAATGGTTTTTAATATAAGTTAATAAAGCAATTCTTAAAAACTGAAATAAATTAGGAAATTATAATATCAATTCTATTACTTAAAATAAACTTCTGCACACATACAAAACTGAGGCAAGAAATTACTGATATGATATTTAGGTGGAAAATGCCTCAAAAACATCTTATAGTAATATTTATTGTAAAAAATATTTAAATTTATGAAAAAAGTATTATTACACACTTGAAATATTTAATAATAAAAATATTATTTAAATAGCAAGAGTTTCCCGGACTAAAGATTCACTATTCATTGGTTGAACTCCGACCAATCAAATTGACCGAAATTTGTAACTGTCGTTTTGAAAAAGCGTTGGGATTTAACGGACTCAGGTCCTTGCTCTCGTGAAACCAAGTTAAGGATTTGAATTTTTAAGAGTGTAGTTTGTTGTGTATATATTTTTAATTTACTATATGCTCGAAAATTACTCCTTGTTAAATTTTTTAATAGAAAATTATAGTAAGTGTATCTTATTTTAATTGCTGATATTTAGTAAATTTACTAAGTTATTTAATTTCTAGATCATGCCCTATTTATTTTTACTGACCAAGCATAAGTGATGTTTTGGTTAGTTGCACCTTAAGATTTGTCATTTTAGTTTCAAATTGCCTCAACACAAACCCTTGTGATATTTCTTTTGTATTTTGACTTTAATCCTGACAAGAATTGACAGGATTTTTCAAACCTTTTCTTGACTTGCTGCATGATTAGCTCTTTTTATTAACTCTGTTCAGTTTTAGTTACTAATTTTGCAGGTATGAATAGTAGTTGTTAAAAATCTTTTATCTGGTTATATTTAAATACCCCAATGGACATTTAAATGGATTCCTTTGTTCTCATATCTTTATGGTACCCTTTGGTTACTCATGAACATTGATGGATACATGATTATCATTTACAATTTTAAGCTTTATTTTAACACTCAAGTTAATTAAAAATCTAGTTTAATACATTATTCAATTATTTTGTTGGTACTTTTTAATCTGAATATTAATTGTTTCTTTAGAAAAATGGCTCCTCTTAAGACACTTAATAAGCAACAACTTCCAGCTAATAATGTGAATATAGGAGGAGTTAAAACAAGGAGTCATCTTACCTCAATGAAAAAAGAAGTTCTCCCGAAGAGAAAAGCTGACGATTCACCCTTAAAAAGAGCTACTGTTAAAAGATCAGCATTAGTTGACATAAAAAATGTAAGTATGCAGAAATCTATTCACTGGCCTGTTGCACTTGTTTGTTTTGAATATTATTGATATTTAATATCTATGGCTCACTATTATTTATTGATCCAGCAATGATATGAACCTATTTATCAGATTTAATTTAGAAGGAATCCCTGTTCTAGGAATTAACATGCTATATTTAAGAATTTGCTTTTATTACTTTTGCTCAACTGTAATTTGAATCTTATTTTTATGATCTTACAATTATAATATCTGTATATGCTACTATATATTAATTGTTTTATTTCTATTTAAAAAAGGAGTTATTTTTATTAGCCTTGGTAAATTACATGCATATACATACAGATATTTAGTTCCTATTAGCACCATTGACGTTTAACTACTTAGTTTGTTGCTTTAATAGTGTATCTATGAAACTTATTTTATTGGATTAGATTTTGTTATTTAAAAAAGAAATTTCTTTAAAACTTTTATGATTCAAATCTTTGATCAATATAATAGTTAATATTCTGTCAATGAAATTGTTAGGGGCTGGTGGGAATGAAATGATAATAAATTGTATTTTTATAAATCATAATATTTTATTATTATTCTGTTTACTCCTTATAGGAAATGTAACTTTTTTTTTTACTTAGATATACTATTTACAATATAAATAGGATGTGTGAAGACTTTTTTAGACTGTTAGTTATGTATTCAAGCTTTGGTGAAGTGGTTGATGTATCTATCATAGTGGTTTTATGGATATTTATAGAGGATAGTTTTTGTGATTTCTTTTTCAATTTTTTTCTTTAGGATGTGATATTTACAGTATTCATAAATGTTTTAAGACGTAAAGTGATTTTTTTTTTATTTTGTAATATTAGTACCAGTGACAGTATCACTCATTCAAATTATTTTACTTTATGCTCTTCTTTATTATATATACATTCTGGCTGAAATAAAAATTACTTATTTCATTTGACTTAAATGTGATCATGTAAACATGATTTAGTGAGAGAAAAAAGTTATTTTTGGAAATAATTAGTGGGATTAGGCAGAATATAAAATGCATATTAAAAATTATCTAAAAAAAAATCAATATTAATGGAATCTAACAAAATGCCTTCAGCTACTACAAAATATCTTATTTTTTTATTTTATTATTATTTTTTTTTTTTGTTATGGATAATTTACAGATTATTAAAATTAGAGCTTTTTTTAAATAAAAAATTATATTATAAAATGTTTTTAAATTGTGTTCTTGTGTCCAACTTAATACAACTTTGATGAAAATACCATGTAAAAAACAAATGGACCAAACATAAACTCTAGAGTTTGTTGGCAGTTGTTCCCATTTCAAATAAATGAATAATAATAAATGATGAATAAATGAATAGTTTTCGTTTACTGTGTCAAATAAACTGGGTAGAGGAAAAATTAATTACTCTCAGACCAAAAATGTAATTAAGTATCAAGAATATATGTAAATTCATGATGAGTTTTGGGGAGGTGGAACTTGAGTGGGGAAAGACAGCACGACCTCCCTTCCCCTACATACAAACTCATCTCAAATCCACTATACAATAGAGCAATTGTCTAAGTATGAAGTTAATCTTGTTTTAAAAAATTTACCCAACTGTTTTGAATTTGAACAGTGTTTTCTTAAAACAACGAAATTATCACTTTACCCGACTTCTGTGCTCCTCATAACTTTTAAATTCATATAGGATTGTATCCATGCAGGAAGGCAAGTCACAAAACAAAGGGAAATTTGGATTTCCTCCTAACATCAATCAGCTGTTCATTGAAAGTATTATATCATTATTAGCTACTTGTGATTTTGTTTATAAGTCTATTGAAAAGGAGTTCACCTTTGTCTGATTGCACCAAGGATGAAACACGAGCAGTGATACATTTCTTCAGTTCAGAAGGTGTGGAACCAAAACAGTTAAATCCTGTGCTGGTCCTTGATAATTGGCGAATTACAGTTAATGACATTGCATGTAAGTTGAGTTTAAGCCATGGTTCAGCTTATACAATCATCCACGATTCTTTGAATGTATTTGAAAAGTCTATACTTGCTGTGTTTCATGTCAATTGACCAGCGTCCACAAAGAAAATCGTTTGAAACTTTCTCAGAAGCATTTAGAATGATATGAAGAAGGAGGCTCATTTCTAAAAGCGAATTATAACCATTGATGAGACATGAGTCCATCACTTGGAACCAGAGAGTAAGTAAAGAAGTTTGGCACAGAAATATCCTTCATATTCCACAGCAAAAAACTCAGATGTCTGCAGTAAAGGTTATGATGACAATATTCTGAAATCTGGAAGATTGACTTCAAATCTCAAGGCCAAGCAATAAATTGTGTGACAGTTACTGCATTTATTGAAGTAAAAAATCAACCCTAAAAGAAGTGGTAAACTTTCAAAAGGCGTGAGTTTTCTTCAGAATAATGCTTGTTCTCATACAGCCAAAAACACAGCCTTCAAAATATCAATTTTCATCTTTTTGGCCCATTAAAAGAGGAGTTGCGAGGGAATCATTGATCTGATAAAGAGGCAATCGAAGCGGTGCAAAATTTTCTGAATACCAGACTGAAAATCTAGGAAGGAATTAAAACGCTCATTACAAAGATGGGCTAAGCGCTTGGAGTAGGAGATGATTATGTTTAAAAGTAATGCTATTATCTTTTATGTAATAAGTATATCAATTTTTCTATTTCCCTTTACTTTTCAATTTACTCACTTACATATTGTTTTTTACAGTATTAATATTTTTAGTATTGATCCTTAATTCAATGTGTTTAGTGATCTTAATATTTACAACTTCACTTAACTGTAAATGTTAATTTAATGAATTGAATGTTCTCGCTTTTACCCAATGTTATCTGATTAATATGATTTTTTATTATTAAGTGTATTACTTTTCTTCCCATTTATAAAGGTGATGTTTGTTGTAACAGCCAGTTAACAAGCTCGAGTGATTTCCAAAAACCTCTCCCAGTTTGACATTCTGTAGTTTACATACTGTCATCTTCTTATCCTGTATCTCTTTTCTTATTTTTTATGATCTCTCTAGTTTTTCCTATATATACTTAGTAAGGTGTATACAATATTTTATGGTAGACGGGATTCGAACTGTGTCTGCTCCTGATTCAAAAATGTTCCTTCAATTTATACCTCTACAAGATCGGCCACCACAACCTCTATTTAAGTTCTAAAGCTCTGTTTTCCCCTACATTTTCATACTTCTGTGTTTAACTTTTCTATTAACATTGATCTAGCAAAATTATCATTTTAGGTAAAAATCCTTAAATTTGTACCATAGATTCAAAAATTATTTCATTGTTACATTTTATTTATATATGTTGTACTTTTATTTACTTCCTCTTATTTTTAAATTAACATACTTTATAATACTACTCTTTCTTTGTTTAGGAATTAAAAGAAAATGTTGAAAATGAAAAAGGGGTTTATCAAAAGACTGCTGTTAATAGAAAAACCTCTGTCACAGCTAATGTGCCCAAGAAACCATTGGGCACTCTTAATGTTAAAAAAACCGTTTCCTGGATACCTAAAAAAGAAGCAACTAAAGTCAGTATATCTAACCCAGTTCAGGTTAAGGTCACAGAAAGCCTCTTACCAAAACCGAAAATGGTCGAGAAAATACTGATAAACAAAAAGCCTGAGATAGCTCCTGCTGCAACAAAGAAAACAGAAATCTTATCTACCTTGTCGACTGGTGTTGTAACAAGAAGAGCTAGTCGAAGTTCTGAACTGGAGAAATCGTCTGAAAGTTCATTATATGTATCTGCTCTAGAGGATTTGAAGTAAATTCATTTTTTTTTTTTTTCTATATTTATATTTACTTTAATTATTGAAAACAGTTCTTTATTTTAAAAAAAAATACTTTTTAACTGTCTACAGTTAAGCTCTAGCTTTTATTAATGACTGGAATTTTTTCTAGATTCTGTGAGTTTTTAACTTTTTTTTTTTTAAATTTTAGTCTTGATGAAAACAAGAAAGTATCATCGAAGCGTCAAGTGCGGAAACCCAAACCACCACTTGGTGTTGACGATTATGATCAGGAACAAATGAGTGATTTAGGAAGTGTTGCTATGTATGCAATGGATATTTTCAACTATCTTAAATCAAGAGAGGTATTTGTAACATGATTAGTATCAATAATTTAAATTGTTCCTCAATTGTCTATAAACCTACATTTTACCAACCACGGCTCAAGTCAAAGAGATTGTTAAGGATCTGTTAACAGGCTGAGTCATGGTTGATATTATTTCATGAATTTGTGTACAGCTCGTGCACACAGAACATGATCTGCCCTGATATAGTTATGTACTAAAAGAGCCTTCAATCTTCTTACATCTTAAGTTATGCTTATTTTTGTTTTATTTTCAGAATCACTTCAAGATTAATGATTATATGTGTAAACAGACTTCCATTAACAAATCAATGAGAGCACTGCTCATTGATTGGATGGTGGAAATCCAAGAAAATTTTGAATTGAACCACGAAACTTTATATCTTGCGGTTAAAATTGTTGATTTATATCTTTCCAAAGTTAAAATTCAAAAAGAAGACCTACAACTTGTTGGGTGTGCTAGTTTATTTATTGCCTCCAAATATGATGTAAGTATAAATTTTATTACTTATAAAATTCATTCTCTTAATAGTTCTATAAAAATTACAGCAATGAGTTCCAACCTGGATGAGTTGACTACTACCTGGGGAGGCATCAACAATTGTGATTAATGTACTTTATTTAGTAACTCGATATAGAAATAAATATACATATTCATATTATTATTGCAACACTTTTAATATTAAGCTTCTCTATGTCATTACATCTATTAAAAGGCTGGGGGTAATTTCATAAAGAAATAGACTGGCAGCTGCTGAATTACAGTAATGGATTTTTATATAGTCTTTAATTATGGTTATTTTATTAAGTTTATGCACTATTAACTGTTCTACCTTTTATTGTGAAAAAAATCATATGGTAGGGCAATAAGAGAACTATATTCTAAAGTCAATCAACATTAATGACAAATTTTGTTTTTCTTTTTAGGAGAGAATTCCTCCCATGCTTGATGATTTCTTGTACATTTGTGATCATTTGTATGATGCTAAAGATGTTTTAAGTATGGAGATAAAGCTACTTAAAAACCTGGACTTTCAATTAGGAATACCATTATCTTATAGATTTTTAAGAAGATACGCAAGAGTAAGATATTATCTCTGATTATCCTTAACAATAGTTTATCCACTATAACTGCATGACTTGTTATTTAAAACAGGTATTTGAAATGTTCCTGTTACAAAATAAATTATTATTTTAGGCTTATTGTTTTGTTTTTTTAATTTAGAAACGGTAGTAATATTCTTTGTTCTATAATGTTAGCAGGATGAGTCATTAAAAATATTTTTATTTTAATATTCAAAGTATATAATGCTGTATTTTGTGGTTTGTTCCGTCTTGAGTCTGGTAGTCTGATTCCTTCACAATACCACTCTATAGATTTTGAAAAATATATATATATATATGTGCATCTCTATCTTCAGGAAATTACCTGTTTTTAAAATTAGAAATTTTTCATGGTTGGGAACTTGACATTACCATCTGACATTATGTTTCCAAATGGTGGTTGATTAGAGATTTTATATTTCATGTTTTGTTTTTTTCCAAGGCTACTTTTTTTTTCAGATTTGTCATAAAACACAGGTCATCCCTAGAATTTAACATTATCATCTGCCAGTAGTCCGTAGTACAGACCCCTTTTTATCAAATTATTAACATCCACCTAAAACTTCGTGAATGGCTTTATAAAAATTTCTCAGAAATAGGGTGTTTGCTCATTAAAGTAATAATTTAATAAGGCATTAAAAACCAATAAATACCTAAATCCACTTGAACCATAAGATAATTTGACCACAAAATCGGGGAGAAACAAAAAAAAGATGTCCTACAAAAATATTTGTCCTATATAACCTTATTATTTTGAAATGTTTGATGTGTAGATTGCACCAATCGGCCCAATATTTTTAAAGGCTGCCTTTTTCTCTCGATTTTGTTTTCACATTATCTTAGAATTCAAGTGGAAAGCCAATGGTGTTCATGAGTTTTTAGTTCAATAATTAAATAAACAAAGTTTTCAGATCTCCAGATTGAAAACACCCTAACTCTGAGAATTTTCGTAAATAAATAAATTGTAGGTTACAATGAGATAAATCGATTTACTAAGTTTTAGGTGAATGTAAATAATTTGATAAAAAGTACCACAGGCTACAAGGTTCCCTATGACTTCATACACTGGTTTTCAACTAGAATATTGTTGTTTTCTATTTTTTGGATTCAAGGTTATTGAGTAATCCTTAGAACTCTACTTTGCCATTCATTTTTATGTTTCAAAATGATTTTTCTTCGAGCCTGGTTGTTCTTTTTTACTTTAACTTACTATATATGAAATATATAGTAAGGGGCAGTAGATGATCGTGAAAATTTTCTAATCTGCGTTCTCAACGGAAATACATGTTTTAAGGTCTTCTGAGTCCAAATAACCAAGTCCTGACAAATAGTCTCTGTGTGTCTGTATGTATGTGGCAGGCCTAGCTCAAAAACGAAAAGTCGTCTGAAAGTGAAATTGAATATTAAGGTTTGTATACACCTGAGATGTTAAAGCAACTTTTTCATCAAAATCGGCTAACCGGAAGTAGCACTTAATATCATCGATGAAACATATTTTTACTATTTCTCGAAATGACTCCAACGATTTTGATTAAATTCATTATATCAGTGTAAAATTAAGCAGTTTTTAATATTATGTAGGTTTTATTCTCATTGATGTTCTCTAACAGGGTTTAAATGGCTAATTTTCAATATTAGTTTCCTCTAAAGTACCTTTAATTTTTTTTATTTGAAACAATTAACCATTTCACATTGATATCTAATATAAAAAAATAGTTAAATGTAAAGGGTGATAAATATTCAGGACGCAGTCTTTTAAAAAAAAATGTATTTTTTATTTGTGGCAACGTTTCAACCCTAACATGTGGGTCAGCTTCAGGGCGTACTGACTCAGTACTTAAAAGCATTCAATACTGGAACCAGGACCTGAAGATGACCCTCATGTTTGGGTTGAAACATTGGCACATATACAAAATTAAAATATTTTTTTTAAAAGATTGCATCCTGAATATATATCACCCATGATATGTATAACAGTCAACTAGCTTCCTTTAATAACTCGTTAAATATAAAATATGAAAGAATTTGGTAGTTAACTAAAGGAGAAATAAGAGATCATAACTTAATTACAATAGTTGTTATAAAAAATCAAAGGGATACGAGCTGGCCCGAAGAACAGGCTTCCATAGTAACATGAGCTTAATATAATATGGACTGATAATATTATGTACATATGCATATGCAGTTTTCCTAAATGTTATTATTTAATATTTAATTGTATAGATTACAGCGATATAAATATTAAAATTTGTATATATGAGGGTACTTAAACTAATAAAAATATTCACAATGAAATATAAATCAATATATGAGAAGGAGTTGATCGGGGGGGGGGGGGGGGGGTCAAATAAATACTAAATTATAGAAGTAGCATTATTTAATTATTATGCCGACGTTTCGACCCACCTTGCAGGTCTTCATCAAGGCGTGGGATGTGGCACTGCGGGAGGTAGTTGAAACACTGTCACTGCTATAAGGGGGGATAGGATTAATTCCAGAGTTAAAAGCTTATATTATTTAAATTTATATTTCTCTTGTCAAAAAATAAATGGTTTTATTGTATTTTATTAATGCATGTAAAGTTTATGAATCTAGTTTGATTTTTGTGATATGGTTGTGTATTATATTTTTTCTTTAATTATGATGTTTTGTGATTACAGTGTGCCAAAATAGACATGCCATTACTAACATTAGCGAGATTCATCTTGGAATATTCATTAATGGATTATTCGACTGTAACTTATTCAGATTCAAAAATGGCTGCTGCGGCACTTCTGTTGGCTATTATCATGAAACAAGGAGGAAGGTGGACACCTACTCTGGAATATTATTCAGGTTATTATATGAATAAAAATATATGTATATATTTGGTAACTGAACAGGGATGAACCAAACGCATAAAAATTTATACTAAACATGTAGGAACAAGGTTTGAAAATGGTAGTTTTCCTGCCAACTATTTTCACCTATCCTAAAATACTCTATCAATGTTTGATTCATCCATATATCGAGTATATTTTCACCTAATAAATAAATTTGCTAAATAATTGATAAGTTTTTTATGTTTATATATTTAACGTTATTAATATAAGCTTCATGAATATGCATAAATATTTGTTAGTATTTTTAAAAGAAACTTTAAATTATTGTAATCAATGTTTGTCCATTTCTTTTAGGATATAAGGTTGACGACTTTAAAGACGTCGTTATTGCCCTGAATGGAGTACTCCATAAAAAACAAAATGATAAAATCAAAACTGTCAGAACAAAATATTCTCACAAGTATGTATCTAGACCTATATTATTTTTATTTTATTTTTTTTATTTCTTAATGACATTTACAACTGTATTACATAAATACATCAAGTAAATTTGGACATAATAGATATAATGACATGAATACACTTGCTGAGTAACTACCTAATGGTAGCACTCTAATAGACCTATATTAAAAGTTACTTAAAATTAATAATGATTTTTTTCATACATTTTACTGTTTTAAGAAAAATAACATATCGACAGCCATGCTGCAAAAGCCTATAAGCACAACTTTATTAAAAAGGTTGAGCTTTTGTGGTCAATCTTACTAGTGTCTAGGAAGCAAAATATTTTTGAGGAGGAGCAATCATCGGGTCTGGTTGGCTTGTACCGTCAACGCTCGCCCTCCCCTCCCCTTCTCAGTTCAATCTACTACAGTCAGGCTTGTTTTCTCAAAGCTCTTGGGCTTGAAGTTTCTCTGTATGTTCTTTTCTTTTTATCACACTTTTTTTTTATCAATTTTTTTTTTTATTTCCTGCTGGTTTTATCCATTGTTAATTTATTTTTTTTAACTATAGCTTTTGTTTTTTATCAATTAATCTGATTTTCAAATATTGCTTACTTTTTTTGTTATTACCATGGATGACTCAAAATTTTACTGCTAAAGTTGCAATAAATCATTTATTACAAAAGTAATTGGGTGAGATACTCGTTCCAAGAATTCAACAGTCAGTACAGTCTTAAGAGACACTTAAATATTCATGCCAAACAATTGCAGTACGTCTGTAATGCATGTGATAAAGTTTTTGGACGTAAGGACAACTGTAGGTAAATTTGTGAGTTTTTTTCAGATGGAAAAATCATAAAATTATTCATTAATTGAATTTATTATAAAGTTAAATAATGATTTTTCGGAATAACCTGACAATAAATAGCTAATTATTTAATTGTGGGTTGATGGTTGACTGTAGTGAATAATTGAAGAGAAGGATAGTTGGGGTGATCAGTCAAAATAAAAATAGTTAAAATAATTATAATTATTTATTTTTATTTTGACTGATCACCCCAAGAAATGGGACAAGCATCCTTCTCTTCAACTGATTATTTAAATATGATATCGGATATAAAGTTATTAAACTATAGTACCTAAATGTATTTAAGATTATAAACATACATTTTACTCATCCATGAAATATTTTTATATTTCAGTTCTTTTTTCACACAAGTACAATAAAGAAGTTTTTTAAAAAAATACCCTTGCCTTATAATATAATATACTTTTTTTTATGCTTAAAAATAATTTTAAACGTTCACACTTTGGAAATTTCAGTTATTTTCCATGGAAACATTTGATTTCCGTTAAATAATATTGGTTTTGAGAAGTTATTAATAACAATTTTTTTTTTCATTACCGTCTACAACTTTATATGCTAGATTTTATTTTCTCTAAAATCTTCAGCTTTCCTTAAATTTTTTGAAGGCCTGCTTGTGGTTAATATTTAATAAGAACTATGAGAAATTATCATATTGTTCAGAAAAATTCTAATGTAAATCTATTCTTTTATTTTGAATAAAATCCATTATATTTCCATTGAATTCGATTTCTGTAAGTTTGCAAACCTATTCCACTTTAACCTCAGGGCGGGAACAGCTGAATAAGCTGAGAAGAGGAGGGGAGGCCAAGAGTCAACGGTATAAGCCGACCAGACCCGATGTGGCCTAGTGCGTATGTAAGATGTGCAATTTTGCCCTCAAAAATAAAAATACTAGGCTTTATTTGCTGTTGAACAATTTGTATAACTATTCGTTTGAGCTATTGTCATTGTGGGGGTTATTATTTATTGAGTGTCAAAAGCATTCCTGACCATATTGGCTGCTGCTATAAAACTGAGATTCACCATATACGACAATGGGACCCAATTTGTTGATATGAATAAAAAAGAACAGGCAACATGTCTTATAGTATTATAACAACTTTTATACATATTCAAAATATAATCAAACCTCTATATTTTCTACTTCCGTTTTAAAAACAAATTGTAGTAATTTACAAGAAATTCTGGGAATATCTTGTATAAAAACAAGCAATATACACGGGCCAATGGATGATCTTTTCTGTTTGAGCATGGCTCCTAAACATAAATCATTAAGTGACGGCAAGATTGGTTGTTGGGGTATTTAGTAAAAAAAAAAAAAAAAAAGTAATAATAAATAAAATATATTTATTTTCAATTGATGGTTGACTGAATTATTTTTAAAAATCTTATTAATTATGTAAAATAATATTACTTTATTTATTTTTTGAAGAAGACTGAAATCTCATGGTAATTTCCTTTGTAATTTTTATATTGATATAGAATTTTATATATTTCAGAATATTTTTTGAAGTTGCCAAAATACCCCTCGTAGACGATTTGAAGTTGTAGCCGATATACTAAACAGTGAAGACAGTAAGGTAGTGCCGTCTTTAATTTTATGCATTGTTATTTGTAGTAAAAACTGATCTAACTATTTTAACTTAATTTATTTAAAAATAATTGTTGACCTATATTTTTATGATATCAATGTAAATGTTATATTTTTCATTATTGGATACTTGTGATATTTTATCAACGAAAATAACTTTTAGTTATCACCAACAGTTGAAGTAACATATATTTTTATACAAAAACTAACATCAGTATTCATGGCTCTAGTATAATGTACATAATGTTTGAAGAGTTTGAATGATGATTTATTGTTATAGCTTTATTTAATAATAGCATTGTATTTTGATTGTTGTAAATATGTATGAAAGTAATAACTTAATAATGATTATTTCTAATCTACCTTTTCAATGTCTTTTATATTTTATTGATGTAAAAACATATTTGTATTTTGTATTTAATGCACATGTTTTTAATGATTCACTGTTTTTACTAAAACGTAATAATAAAAATTATACTAAAGAGTAAATATACTCTGGGCATATTTTATCTAAGAACATGACTGATTACTGATATGTTTTGTATTAATTTATTTAATGGGTGGAACTTAGCATTCTGAGGAAGGAAAAAAAATTTAAAATTGGTAGTGTTTAATTTATTTATTCTTTTCCGGTCGACTTAGCAGAATGTTAAGTTAGGCTAAATTGAAAGGTGAGCAGTTGTATATACTACTTAAGTGTTAGTTTATTATATATGATTATGTATTTGTAATGTTTAATAAATATAGTCTCCCCTTTTGCCTGGATGATTATTTCAGACTTTTTTTTTTAACGTTAATACAACAAATGAGCTTTACATTAATTTTTCATGAGGAACAGCTACCTATTTATAGCATTCCAATAATAAATTAATTATTTTAAAAGGTCAAACCATCATTTTCTTTTCAGATCCCCCCTTAAGATTATCTGTGATTGTGATTGAGAACAGATTAAGTGTAAAAGGATTTGAGTGATATCACAGTTAATAGTGGAAAAACATATATTTATGTTTTCTCAGGTAGTTTATTAATGTAATATTAAAGTTATTGTGGATGGTTCCATTTGTGACATAATAAGGAATATAGATTAGATTGAGTATGGAAGGAACTAAGTAGATAGTTACGATCTATCCCATGGTTCAATGCCGTAAATTCAAATAGGCTTGATAATAATTATGCATGTATTAGAAATTTAAAGTGTTTGTGGAGTAAGTTTTGTAATAGTCCAAAATGGTCATGCTTAACATTTGATAATTTTTTTAGCTTGATGAATAAATATTGCAGTTCAGAACAGAAGTTTCTTATGACAAGAATTGAATTGTGCTATTTTAAAACATTATACTTCAGATTCTATTTATTTATAATTCATCAGGTTTTAAAATAAAATAATTTCCATTTTTAATCCTAAAGCAACATAAGTTCTTTCCTGTCTTAATCAAATTTTGATTATTATTTTTTTTAATTTAAAACTGAATCAATAATTCCTTATTACCTTTAAATGGGTATCTTAAAAAGTTGTTTACATCATTAAATTCGTATTTAAACGTTTTTTGAGATACAGAAAAAACAATATAGTCCAACTTTGCTCTTACCACAAAATAAAAAATTTACTTTAGATGCAGGGATGGTTTAGAAACAAACGAAGTTGATAGATATTCTTTTTTGCACAAAAAGTTCGCCTATGCCAGAACCATCTAAATTTCGACAACTACAAAACAAAAATAAAAATTGTGAGAATTTCAAGACATCTGCAAAACTCTTTAAGACAATCATAATAACACAAAAGCTATTTATTATATTGATAATAGGAAAGTAAACTACGTCAGTCTCTGAGCCGTGTATACTAGAAGAGGTTCGAAAGTACATATATTTAATCTATCAGTAAGTAGCGATTGTACTACAGAGTAAACATTATAGGAATTAAATCTTGCATTACTTTTTACTTGTATTTGAACTCATAAGTTACTTTACAGAGGGAAAATTCATAAAATTATTCACTCAATTTCTTTTTTAAAAATGGTACTAAATGAAGTTTTGGAAAAAACTGAGGTACTTGTGATCAATCCAGTCAGCAGTAAGCTGCCCTTCTTATCTTACGTCACATAACCTGCCTTTTTATCTCGTGTAAGCTGTTGCGTGTGATTTATTGCATTGGTTATTTCATATGGTTTATTGTTGTAATGGATGTTATTACATTGTGTGAATTGCCGTCTTCAGAAGAAGAGGGTATGAAATATTTTCAATATGCTGGGATAATTGCAAAGGTGAAATATTGTGAAGTAGGTCATGAAATAAAGTTCGACCGCAAGACGAAATGGAGATGCTTTCGTAGGATTTGAAACAAAAATGTATCTATAAGGATAGGCTAGAGGGGTCGAAGATTATCTTTTCAACTGCTTTAAAATTAATTTATGGGTAGTCTCATAATTTGACAACAACACAGTGGGGCAAAGAGCAGCTAAAACTATCGAGCAGATGTATCATAATGTGGAACAAATTTTTAAGAGAGGTTTGTGCCCATAACATGTTATACAGGTCATCTAAAAAAAATTGTAGAGCCTGGGAAAGTCGTTGAAGTAGACGAGAGTCTTTTTTTCTAAAAGAAAAAAACATGTAGGGAGGGTCATTCAAAGACAGGGATTATCAGTGTTCATGTTATAAACATTGTCAGATAGCAGTCCATACTGACTGGAAAGTACCAAAATTGATACTAAACTTATATTACAGGATCTAGTTATTGAACTTCAGTAAGTGTATCTAAGGTTATAAACATATTTTTTACACATCCATGAAATATTTTTATGTTCTATTTCTTCTTTTAAAAAAGTACGATAAAAGAAATTTTAAAAAATTTCATTGCCTCGATTGTTTGGGTTATATATACATTTTTTCAATTCAAAAATTTACATTTAGTTCTACGACTATATATGATTGATATTGTTTTTTCTAAAATTCTCAGGTTCCCAACGATATATTATTATATATATGCATTCAGACGATTATTTCTAAAAATTCATTTTCACTCAAAAAAAACATTTTCCCTTTTTTCTCCTTTAGTAAATTATCAAATTATTTCATATTTTATATTGAGCCTTTTTTTTTTATTACTAATAACAATAAATTTAGCAACATGGAACGTCAGGAGCTTGTTCCAACCTGGAGCTGAAAGGGATTTAGGAAGAGAGATTGAGAAATATAAAGTAGATATACTAGCACTGCAAGAAATGGAGAGACACAGTGCTCAGCTAGATGAAGCACTACACAGTTATTAATAGAGGCAATTGGCAAAACATTATGTGCAAAGGTTTTGCTGTAAGGAACTCCCTTCTGCACTCTGTTATCAAATACATAATAGTGAATGAAACAATATGTTAATTAAGGTTGAGAGGAAAGTTTTCAACATTTCCTCTATTAGTATCCATGCACCTATAGAAGGTAAGGACAACGAAAAGGAAAAGGATACATTCTATGGAATGTTAGAAAGGATGCGATGTCAAAATAACTCTGGGAGATTTTAATGCTAGGGTGGGAAAAGAAAACATATTCTTTCCAATATCAAAATGAAGATTTTGTAACTAAAAGAACCAGAAAGTTTTATAAGAGCATGAGAGAATTTCGGAATGGTTATATACAAAGGCTGGAATTCATTAAAGATAGTGGGGGAAATTTAGTTGGAGATCATATATCTGTTTTGGAAAGATAGAAGCAGTTTTTCACAGTTCTATTAAATCCAGACACAGCATGATCAATCAATAAAGACAAAGTCCACCATTATGAGGGAGACTCGGTGACATTGGAGAAAGAAGAAATACAATCAGACAGAGATGAAATAATCAGAGCATTCCATAATAACAGAGCTCCAGGAATAGACAGTATTCTGAATGAGGTTGTGAAATATGGTGGCAAGGCACTAGTGGAGGAGATTTACATGACGTCTGGACGGAAATGAAGATGCCACAGGGCTAGAATGTGGCAGTTATGTGCCTGATACATGAGAAGTGAGACAGGTTAAAATGCCAAAACCATCGAGGTATAGCCTCCTGTCCGCTGTCTACAAGGTTCTTTCAGTTGCCATTAACCGAAGAATTATGGCATGGGAGGGCAGAGAGAAATATTGGTGAATACCAAAGTGGCTTTTGACCAGGGAGAAGTATAATAGACCGCATCTCTATTCGACAAATGCTGGAGAAGGTATATGAATATAATATAAACCTCCATCACCTCTTCATTGATTTCCACCAACCATACGATAGCCTTGTAGACGAACCCAGAAGAAACAATCTATAATAGACTTACCCAACACAGCGTAAGCTGATGACGTGGTAATATCCTCAAGATCTAAAGCCGCACTATCAGTGGCTTTATAGGAATTTGAAAATGCTGGAAAAAAATTAAGTCGTATAATAAATAAGTTAAAAATCCAATATATATCATCAAAAAGTGAGGGACAGGATAGCATGCAACTGCTCCACCACACTTTTAAGAAAGCTGGCAATTTCAAATATCTTGGAGCCTTAGTGACTTTCAAAAATGACATCACTGTAGAAATTAAAGCAAGAATTACAGCAGACAACAGATGTCTTTTAGCATTACGGAAAACATTGCTTTTTCGAAATCTTTCATGGAGGGCAAAGCTACTGGTTTATAAGACTATCTTGAGATCAATGTCACTTACGCAGGTGAAACATGAGTTCTGACACAGAAATGCGAAAAGATCCTACGGATCTGGGGAAGAAAGTTCCTTCGGCAAATCTTTGGGCCCATACGTATAAATGGCCAATGGAAAATAAGAAATAACAGAAAACTGTTCAAAGAACCAGACATCGTCACTTATGTTAAATCAAGCCATAAGATGGCTTGGGCACATAGAAAGTATGTGTAAACATTGATACCCAAAAAGACTATTATATGATAAACCAGGAGGCAAAAGAAGGAGAGGAAGGCCCAGACTTAGATGGATTGATGATGGGGAGAATGATTTGCAGAGGATGGGATTTGGACAATGGAGAAGCCAGGCTGCTGATAGAGAGGATTGGAGAGGCGTTGTTGTGGAGGCCAAGGGCTGTAGAGCCATGGAAAAAAGAAAAAACAAAACAATAAAAGATAGCTAATAAACAAAATGATAGACTTAAAATAAACAAAATTAAAGGTACTTAAGAGGAAGAAATTTGAGGATTTATGCCCTGTCAGGTGGCATTAATGTGAATAAGATCTAGCTTATATTAAAGACTATTTAATTATACATCAGTATATCGAGTTCAATTATAATAGCTCAAGCCATTTTCAAGAAAATTGCAAAATCGAAAACATAAAGTGGCTCTTACGGTTAGCCAATAGTAAGGAAGAAATTGCTGTAACATCTCAGGTTTACAATTAACTTGTATATGTAATTTCAGTTTCGTGATGCTTTTAGTTTTTAGCTAGACTATTCACATACTCACAGACCATTTTGTGACACCTGGTTATTTGGACTCAGGGGATCTTAAAACATGTATTTCCGTCAAAAACTCAGTTTCGAACATTTTCATGATCACAATATTTTCCCTTACTATATGTTATACACTTAAATAAGTGGAAGTTAAATAATTAATGGAACCTAACCTTCATAAATATATAAAATTTTCAATTTTTAATTTCTTTAAAAATTCATATTTGAGAGTTTTGAAGGACACAAAAAATGAATTATCAGGAAACAAATTATCTAGCTTGCTTTTTCATAAACAAAAAAATATAAACTTGCCCTACTTAACTAATTAATCAGTACCCACCAGAGGTTTGATCCATGGATGGTTTGTTTCAGGGAAAAATTTAGATCCTCATACACCTGCTGACTGTGGATAGCCACAGTTTATTTAATGACATTGGGCCATTTGAAACTGTTCTTGAAGTCGGTGGGAACTTCATGTTTATAGCCTAGTTGGACCCTAAGAGATCGTTGACGGAGATAAATAGTCCAACTGCTAAAAGAGTGTAATATTTGAATAAAATTTTTATGTTCGATCCTACTTGTACAATAATTTCTTTTTATCTGCCACCTCAAAGTTGATTGAATGCACAACTGTTGTTAAAACCATCAAAAGATATTTACTTGAAGTATTTATTTCTTTTCTTATATTATACTAGATTTTTAGCATGCACCAAAAAACTTTGCCTTCCACCTATCAGAACATTTTTCTCTTGGTCTAATGTGATTTCAGTTTTAAGGTAAGTTTTATTTTTATTTACCAATATGTTTTTTAATAGAAAAATCATCTTTATTCTGGGATTAGGTCCCTTTAGAATAACAGTATTGTTCATATAAATTAACCATAAATCTGGCCAAAAGATCTATTACAATGAATAATAATATGTTTTGATAGTAGATAGATAGAAAGTAAACTTTATTCTGGGACAAGGTCCCTTATGAATAACAGATATGAACAAAAAAATTAAAACTACATCTGGCCAAAAATTACATTAATCAATATTAAAGAATATATACAGTATCTTCAGTGAAATTAAATTAAAACAAGTAAAAATAAAATAAAATTTTGAGAAAAAACGAAATAAAAAAAACAACATTATTTAAATGAAAATAAAAATAAAATAAAACAAGCATGGGTTGATTTTTAAAATTAAGACTCAATAAATTTTATCAACCATTCACCTCAGTCAAAATCTATTTCACAATATTTATTTTATTGTATAACGTCATTTTGGGATGTGAGAAGGAATTGGTAAAGATGATATTTAAATGAGGACAAGGAAGAGGCATGACGGATTTCAGATGGCAAGGAATTCCAAAAGGCTGTGGATCGGGAAATAAAGGAATATTCAAACGTCTTAGTTCTATGGAAAGGGATATAAAGGTCGGAAACACGGGATCTTGTTTTCTGGGAGTGGACCACGGGTTTAAACTGTAGGAGACTGTAGATGTAAGAAGGGTGTCTGGTGTTGATTGTTTGGAATAGGAAAGATCCGAGGAAATATTGTCTGCGGAAAGAAGGGAAGAACCACTTTAACTCGTCGTAAAGGTGGGACACATGAGATCGCTTTGATGTACCGAAGACAAATCTTAAGCACGTATTCATGAGTCGCTTCAATCTATCCTCGAGTACCATCGGGATGCCTCCGTACATCACACAGCCGTAGTCAAAGTGGGGGAAAATGAGAGAGGATACAAGGAGCTTGCGGATAGGTTGTGGGAGTAGGAGGCGGGAGCGATGAAATAGCTTAAGGGTACCTATTGACTTACGGGAGATGAGGGCAATATGGGGTTTCCAGGAGAGGTTTTCGTCTATGGTGATTCCGAGGTTATTAACGGATGAACTGAATGTGACAGGATGATCGTTGATGACTAAAGGAGGAAGGAAGGAGATGGATTTAAAAATAGGACTGGAACCTATAATAATGGCCTGAGTTTTCATCCCATTTAGATTTAAATTATTCAGACTTGCCTAGGCACTGATCCTATCTAGGTCAGCCTGAATATTGGCGAACGCGACTAGTAGCTCAGAAGGATGAAAGGAAAAATATATTTGGGCGTCATCAGCGTATAAATGATGTGAACAGTGGTAGATGGATTTGGAAAGATCATTTATGTAGGAATTGAAAAGGAGAGGGGAAATGCTCGAACCCTGGGCCAGTCCAGAGGACAGTGTAAGAAAGGAAGATAGGGGTTGGTTTGGAATGCTGACTGCTTGAGTTCTGTCGGATTGGAAAGACTGCAACCAGAGGATAGAGCTGTTGGAGAAGGATAGAGGTTTTGATTTAGTATAGAGTGGTCTAAGGAGTCGAAAGCTTTGGAAAAGTCGAGAAGTATTAACACAGTTAACATTTTTTCGTCCATTGCGGTATGTAAGTCATTGGTAATTTTTACTAGGGCGGATTGTGTGGAGAAGCCAGGTCGGAAACCAGATTGGAGAGGATCGAGTAGTTTTGAGTTTTCAAGGAATTTAGAGATTTGGGATTGAACTATTCTTTCCAGAGGTTTAGAAAGAATGGAGATTGGGCGGTAGTCTTTAGGAGAGGTAGGATTGGGAATTTTGTTGATAGGTCTGACTAATGCTTTTTTCCAAGCAGTTGGAAAAACTGAGTCCTGGAGGGAAAAATTATAGATGAAAAGGAGAACTGGAACGACTTCGGGAAGGCATAATTTTAATAGTTTGACTGGTATCCCATCAAGTCCGATGGAGTTTGTGTGTGATTTCATTATAGAGGAAATAAGGTCGGATAGTATTCTATAAATAATAATAATAATAATTATAGTATTCTATAAATACAACATTAGCTGTTCAATTTTCCCTTGATTGATTTTTTCAGCTAGCAAAATTTCAATCTTTTAATTTATTTTAAACCTGATAAGAATGAAGTTTATCTCTTCTGAGATATTTTACAAGCCATTTGGAAATTTTTAAAAAGTAATATAGTAAATTTTTTCTTAATCTTCCTGTTTAACACGCAGATTTAGTATTTAGAAAATAATGTAATGCGCATATACAGCTTGTTTGGCAACATCTCCAAATATCTCAAACAAAAAAAGATTTCTCTCAATAACACAGAACATTTAAAGCAGTTTTTATCCCAGAAGATAAGGAGGTTTCACATTCCTTCTACCGTGATTTTGATCCTTTTACTCATATGTTATTTTATTTATTTGTGGTTAAAAATCATATGAGAGTGAGTAATTCGGATGCAGTCATTTTTAAGGTTTTTATTGGTGCCGACATTTCAACCCAAGCATGTGGATGTGGGTCATCAGGGCTGAAATTTGTTTAATACAATCAGAGACATAATATTATAAGGTAGATAATGGTTAGTAATAAAAAAATAGTGATGGATGATACATGCAATAGACAAATGAGATAAGTTATACAAACTAAAAAATAATACATATAATCAGTTTATAAGAAACGTAACTAACAACAAAATTTGAAATAGATAGCTTAAATAAATTACAAAAATATGAAAATTTCTTGGAATGTCATTAAATTTGGCCTTTGTTCAACAGAAAAACCTGGTGTTCCCAACACATAATTTTCACTTACCACTCTACTTTGAATAGATTTTCTGGCGACACTGGGCTATTATAAAATTTTTAAGGACCTACAGCTTAAATCTACCAAATCGTTTCTTTTCTCTTCGTTTCTTTTAAACATTTTTTTTTTTTTCAACTTTTATTGAGTATTAATACAGTCTGCCACACTGAAGGGCATTGGTACTAGGGCTATAGTATTCATACACACAATGTGTACATAAGAAAGGAAAAAAAAAAAAAATATATATATATATATATAAATAAAAAGATATACAAGGTATAAAAGTAATATACAAGGTAATTAAAACAACAGATCAGCCGAAAAATAACAAAACAAATAAAACACATTCACACCTATGTACAATATCAAACATATTTATTAAGAGATATTACAATCTGTCGCAATTAAGGACATTTATAAAAAAATAGTGTTCAAAGAGCACATTCACACTCCATTCACAAAAAAATAAAAATAAATAATACAGAAAAACAATGATAGTAAAAGAAAATGTATATGAACTAAACTAAACAAAAAGAAACTAGCTAATGAAAATAACTATTCAAATACATACATGCTTCTATACAATATATAAAAAACTTTATTCACTGAAGATCGAGCCAAGCCTTCCTCCTCTCACCGGGATGGGTGGTGCTGGATAGGCATTGTGCAAGGGGATTTGGATGATAAGTAAGGTTATAGTGAAATTTGGAGAATTTTTCGGGGATAAGGTCATGGTGTAGGGTTTTGTTGGTTACATACAATGGAGCATCAACTATTGTTCTGAGGACTTTAGATTGAATGCGTTTGATGTTAGAAAATTTTGCTGTTCTCCACAGTTCAAGTCCGTATGTCCACGTAGGTTTCAGGATTTTCTTGTAGATAAGCAAATTTTTTTCGATAGAAAGTTTAGATTTTCTGTTTAGTAGTCTATATAGTTGACCGTATCGTCGGTTGAGTTCCTGTCTTTTAAGTATTGTATGTGGGTTCCCCGTTAGTCGTCTGTCTAAGAGAAAGCCAAGATACCGGACTGTGTCTGAGAAAGGAAGCTGGATGAAATTAAAGTGTACTGGTGGACAGGAACTGAGCGTGCGGCCCAGGAGCCGTCATCTCGCCGGAGGGATTGGAAAATCTGGTGAGATTTTAGTAATCTTCCAAAGGGAATTGTCACTAGAAGAGAGGGAGGATAGGCAGGAGTTAAAGAATTCGGATCTATAGGAGGCTAATTCTCGCTTTAGTTTTTTGCAATAATAATTATAGGAACGGCGATCAGCAGGGTGTCTGCTACATTGCCACAGTGATCTGGTGCGTCCTTTCATACAAATTAGGTCAAGGAGGTGATGTGGTAAATTTTTATTCTTGGGGAGAAGGCAGTCCAGGCAGCTTGTTGAATTGAAGTAGTAAATGAATTTTAGGCACAGTCAATATCATTGAAAGTTTTCAGAGATATGTTGAGGTCTATTTTGTCGGAGAGGATTTTGCGGAAAAGGTTTCAGTTAACGGGACCTCTGATGAATTACGGTGAATGTTTGGAGATGGGTTTAATGAATGGAGGATGATGAAATCAAGTATATCAGGATCATGGTTAGGATCTGTGGGCAAGTAGGTAGGAGATTTGGGAGAGTGCAGACAGCAATGTTTGACCACGAGAATTCGTGGTTCTTGGATCCCATTGTTGGTGCTTGGTATTTAAGTCTATACCCAAGATAAAGTGATGTCCTAAGGATTCGAGGGGGGAACTGAATTGGGCATTGGATATGAATCGGTTAGGAGGGTAGTACGCTTATGCAAGAATGACCTCAAAGGAGAAGATTTTGATTACGATAGCAGTGGATTGTAGGAAATCTTGGGTAGGTGATGGGAGGGGGATTAGTGTAACAAGGACAGCGGTAACAGCATGTGCCCTACCGTCAGGATGGTCAGTACGATATGTCAAGTATTGTATTTTGAAGAGCTGTTTAGTGGTTAGTCGAGTTTCTGTAATTAGTGC